GCAACCAAATCCATGAACCGGGGACTGCCCCAAAATGCCACGCCCCCGAATCCTCCCACACCAACGCCCTCGCACACACCCACTCACATGCATGTTCGCTTGATTCGTTTTCAATCTTTGTAGGATGTTGTAAAATATTTTAACGACAGCAATTTCGCCTGCTCGCGGATGATATTAAATTTGCCATTGGCCATAATATAAAAATTTGAATGGCAGTCCTATTTATTTTCCCGTTCATACATTTTATGCGATATGCTTGCACCCGTCGGCTTTTATAGAAATTTAATTTGATTCGATGTTGGCTAATAAATGCAAATTTCACCATTTCGTTGACGAGCGGAAATCAATTATTCGGGGCGACCACCTGACTGGGAATTTGGATTTGCACTAACTCTGCACTTTACTGCGGGACTCAAAGAGTCCTGGATGCAGCTGGCCGTTGCCATGGTTTTTCCCGGGAGCCGCTCAATTTCCCTGCACTCGTATCTCTTGTTCTAAAATTAAATCGAGCTGTCCATCCCCCCACCTGTGCCGTGCTTTATGTCAGTGCAGTTTGCTCGGGAAGCTCGGAGAGCGGTGATTCAAGGACAACGGATATCACCACAATTGGGCATAATGTCGGTTTTGAAAACTGCCATTTTCAGGCTTTGAACATTAGCAAAGGCAGAATCTTTTAAAACTAGTTTTAATACCTTGAGAAGTTTTAAGTTGTTCTTAAAAGATAATTCAATTGCTACTAACTAGGTTCTATATCATTTTCGGAGATAAATGAAACTACAATAACTTATTAAAACTCATAATTTATACGATGTGTATACTTAGATACAAAAAAGGGTAACCACTTCATAACAATGGTAAGCTTTGAAATGATTTATAATCTGCCATTTCAGCCTTTTCCCCTTTCAGGCGACCCGAAATGGCAAATAAAATACGATGACATTCAACTTTCGGTCGGATTGTCGATGGTTAAGTATCGTTAAATGGGTGAAGGTCACCGCTGCGCTGAGTGCCACTGCTAGATGGCCTCCGTGGTCCTCATCCCCATTCCCAACCTCATAATGCTCGAGGATCTAGAAGCGGGCGGTGGAAGGCCATTAACAATATGCGACGGCCTTAAAATCAGCAAATGCAACGGAGGTGGGCAAACAAACAAACAAACAAGCGACAGAAATACACCAGCAAATATGGGCTGGCCAAAAAAACACACATACGCCGCGTGGGCCGTGCGGTAACCAAAACAACCCCCGACCAAAAACAGTGGTCATGTTTACTCAAACTCACACACAAATGCTTTCATAATTTCCCGCACGCAGACACACACACACACACACAAACAGAGTCACAAATACATGCATAAATCTTCAGCTGGCGCCATTTCACTCCTTTGGCGAACTATAAAAGCCAAACAGCGTCTGCTGGCAACCTCCGCCAGTAACATCAATGTTTTGCTTGTTGTCGTTTGCTCTTCCATTCTGAGAAATCCCTATGCTGTACGCCCAGCCTCCTTTCAAGCCACCCCCCACGAACCACCCTCAACTCCCCCCGCTAACCCAGCATCCCTCCAATTACTCACACATTCAACGAGCACTCATTTAAACGAAGCACCCAACGCTTACAGCATAACGTCAAAGTTAACTCGCTGTTGGAGCGCGTGCTTTTTGGGGAGCGGAGTGGGTTGCGTGTGGTGGGTGAAGAATGGAGAATGGAGAACGGAGCGTGGTGGGTGGAGAAAGTCGGTGGGGTGGGGTGGGATGGCGCCTGAGAGGAAGCAGTCGTGCTCTGGTCGTGCGTTCGTTTTATCCGCTCGTGCGTCCCGCATCGCGCATCCTTTGCCACTCAACAACAATGCTCGCTGATGATGTACTATGGAATGAAGTTGGCATATCACGGACTCAATCTGGGGAATTCCCGGAAATCTATATGAATTGCCCAAGGGAATACAAGATTTCTTGAAATAATCTAATGGTTTCTTAGGATTAAAGGCGATTCAGCAAATGCAAGGGGTTTTGAACCCCCGCAAAAGTTTACTTCGAAAGAAAGTGTCTAGTTTAAAAACTTATTTTAGAATTTGTTAATCCAGAACCTTTTTTAACCAATAGTACCGTTAAATAAATTTTGATACTCATAAATTTAGTATTATTTTCTAGTTTGAGGAATAAATATAAAATGTTCTTAAGTATATTAGTTTACTGTGAAATCATGTAAAAAATCAAAACCTGTTCAATAGTTTTAAAAATTCCACTTTCACTCAAACTCCATTTTAAATTCAATCCATTTCCGAAACTTCATTGAAAATGCACACATACCACTGTAAACACACGCACACACACCACTGCAGACAACTCATTATTCGTACATTGTAGTGGGATTGTCAGATATACGGGTACATTCCATTATACATTATAGTACTCCGAATGTTGTGTCAGAATTGACACAGTGTGCAATCGTCCTTTGGCATCGCCAACTCCCCTTCCCACCCCTCCAGCATCCACAATCCACCCCACTACCCCCGCCCCCTCGCATCTTTCGCTTCGATTCCTTTTCTCTTTGCTGCTTTCTGTTTTTCCTCATTTTCTTCTTTTTTTTGCTGTGTGTGTGCGAAAATTTACGGGCGTTAGTTTGTATGTGTATGTGGGCTACTATGTTAAAAGTTTGTTTCCCCGAAAAGGACGGCCACACCCCCGACCACCGCCCCTTTTGCGTATGTGTGTGTTTATGTGTGTGTGTGCGTGTGTCACTTGGCAAAAGTTTTTGGCTACTTTTATTTTTCGTTGTTATTTAATTGTGTTTGTGTTGTTGTTGTCTCGTGTTTGACTTCTGAATTGTTCTCGTTGTTGTTGTCGTTGTCAACGATCCTTTGTTGTTGCTGCTGTTGTTGTGGTTGTTGTTGGTCTTATTATCATGGAACAACTTCGCTGGTTGTTCGTGTTTTTGATAACTTTCGTTTTAACTGTCAATGAAAGGCAATTGAAAGTTGCCAAATTGTTGTGCGACCACAAAAAGGAATATATGTATATTTCCCCTTTAATCGCGCAGTTTTCCCCTAACATTTTCGGGCATTTTCAGCTTTAAGTTGGTAGTTTGTTTTCCAGGGGAAATTAAACCAGCATCCTTCAGCGAAAGAAAAAACTCACAGGACATTTGTCAAACGGGAAACTATGTTGGCAGCCAGCTGGGCGTCCAACTCGACTAAAGGTATATACTTATATATATATATATATACCGTATAGTATATCCCTGCTACCCGACTTTGTAGATATGTATACGCAGAGTCACATAATCCCGACGAACACACACAAACACACGAGCGAGTTTAGGGGCCCGAAACACAGTTAGCAATTTACTGTATTGTATTATGTATGATTTTTCCTCTGTGGCATTACATCTTCAATGTTTGATAAAGCCCTGCTTATCCGACAAATAAAAAAGAACAAGAGAAGCCCGAAAGTCCTTGCATTTTTTACAGTTATACACACGAATGCACAAAATTGCCAACTTTAAAACTTTAGCTTTCTGTCAACTTTGTTAAAAAAAATCAATGCCATTCACTTCTGGTTTCGTGGCTTATTTGATTTTCACCAACACTTTTCCTTATTTTTTTTTACTTTTTCTCACAGAACGCTGCTCGAACCTTTTGTTGTTTGAAAATTATTGAAATATCATTTATTATATGTATTCATATATACACGCGTTTATTTATTTATACTTATGTATACGCATCGAATTTTAGAACGTTAAAAGTTTAGTTTAGCTTTGCTCGTTGTTTTTTGTTTTGTTTTTTTACTTTTTGCCATCTACTTTGTCTATTTAATTTTATATTTTTTTTTGTGTTGTTGTAGTGTAGAAAAAATTAAAAACGCGCCGTTGGTATAAAAATGTCTTTCAGCTAATGCGATTTTAACGTTTTGCATGCGAACCAACAACTATTTTGGCCAAGTGCGCGCTGCCAAAGCAGAAGCTCTCGCTCAGCATCCAAAAACCGATGGATGCCGATGCTTCTGCGATACTCGTACTGCGAGATACTCGCACTCAGAGATTTTCGTACCTTGAGATACATCTGGCGGTGGGCGGAAGCGAGATGCAGATACCATCGGTGGGCTCCTGCTCATTGTTTTGATGCTGGCGCTTGCGCCATCATCTCCTCGAACATTGCCAGATGAAATCCAATGGATTGCCACTCACAGCGGCTGCTCTGGCGCGCATTTTCGAATCTATTCTGTCTGTTCTGCCGGATCTCCGGTCAGGGGTAATTAGCCCGCGTTTATGGCTTAACTGGAAGCCCGAAATAGAAACGGGCACAGCAACAATCGCGGCGATCACGTGAAGAGATCGCGTGTTTTTAGGGGAAGAGGCAGGCGGCAGGCAGAAAAAGGCGGGCGGAGCGATCTCATAACAATTTCCAAAGGCAGGCAGACGACGCCGGCTCTTGATGATAACGATTCCCGCTGAAAAACAAACGTTTTCGAATCACATATACTCGTACAGTAGGGCTTCGCTGACTCAGAATGACTTAGAAACCGATAAGGCCTTTTGAAGTCTCAAACTGTCATGTTTTTTGAAAATAAGATTTAGTGACACAACTGTACAATGATGCATCATAAAATACTTCCGCACAATATATAATACAGAAGAATTATAATCGCAAAATATTTCAAATTACTATCTTAATTGGGAACCCATGACAACTCATTAATTTTTTTTGTTTTTAATTAATAATTCTTTACTAAAAATAAACATATCCTATCTGATAATCATTTGAGTCCTGTGTTACTTTGAAACATATAGAATATCGTTAAATGCGGTTTCATGCTTAGTTAGATCTTTAATTTGCTGTTTAGTTTCTCCAAGAAATTTTTCTTAAGAAGGTTCTACTGTGAACTGTTCTCATAGTAGAAAACAAAACCGGAGTGAACCCAAGGCGGCGTGCCTTTTCCTCTATCAACCGACGGTCAGGTCGATGGCGGCGGGGCATTATGAAATCCGGGACTTGCCTATAAATACCGCAGGTCTCGTGCTGACGACTATCAGTGCCGGAGGAAACGTGCCGGGCAGCGTACAGCCAGCTCGGGAATCATAAAACAAAACAAAGTCACGAAAATGAGGCTGCAGTTCTTGTTTTTCCTCGGCCTGAGTGCTCTAGTCAGTGGAGGAGGTAAGTGCCCGTAGACCTTGATAATCTGCCTCAAAAACTAACCCAACTGTACCCACAGAAACCTCGCACGATGCCGAGAGGCGAATGCATCCAGTGTTCTCCCTGATGCAATCCGCATCCGCAACTGGAGGTCGCTTCAAGCGGGCCATGCCCCAAATAGTTTTCGATCCAATAAGGACGGAGGAGCGCTACGCGGAGTACTGGCAGGGATTGGCCGCCCAGACTCTGGAGCAGCAGCTCGAAAGCAAGTCGCGGATAAACACACAGCTGGCCAAGAACGTGATGCTCTTCATTGGCGACGGCATGTCCATACCCACGATCACCGCGGGAAGAGTTTACCTGGGCGGCGAGGAGAAGCAGTTCGCCTTCGAGGAGTTCCCCTACGTGGGTCTCAGCAAGACCTACTGTGCCAACATGCAGGTGGCCGACTCCGCCTGCACGGCCACCGCCTACTTGGGCGGAGTCAAGGCCAACTACGGAACGATCGGAGTAAGTGCAGCGGTGCAGTTCAAGGATTGCGGTGCGCAGGCGCAGTCCGCTCACCATGTGGCCTCCATTGCGGCCTGGGCGCAGAAAAAGGGAATGGCCACCGGATTGGTGACCACCACCTCGGTGACCCACGCCTCGCCAGCTGGGGTGTACGCCCACCTGGCCAACCGGAACTGGGAGAACGATGCCGAGGTGGTGGGCGATAATGGAGATCCCACGCTCTGTCCGGATGCCGCTGCCCAGCTGATAAACAGCCCCGTGGGTCAGAAGCTAAACGTGATTATGGGCGGCGGTCGCGAGAACTTCCTGCCTAGTGGAGTGACCGATAGCAGTGGAGCACCTGGTCGCCGCCTGGACGGACGCAATCTCGTCGAGGAGTGGAAGGGTCAGCACACGAACAGTGCTCACTACGTGGAGAACCGCAGGGATCTGCTAAGTCTCACCAACCAGACCTCTCGAGTGCTGGGTTTGTTTGCCCCCTACCACATGGCCTACCATCTAGACGCCAATCCTAAAGAGCAACCCACTCTGGAGGAGATGGTCAAGGCCGCCATGGACATCCTGGAGCGCCAGAGTGCGGGGCGTGGCTACTTCCTGTTCGTGGAGGGCGGAAGAATCGACCATGGCCACCATGACACCTTGGCTCTGAGGGCCATCGATGAGACGGTGGAGTTCGACAAGGCGGTGAGATTCGCCAGGAGTCACACCAGCACGGATGATACCCTGATCGTGGTCAGCTCGGATCACTCGCACACCATGTCACTGGCGGGTTATTCCAGCAGGAAGAACGATATATTCGGGATCAACGATGGTCAGCTGGCGGAGGATGACCTTCCATATGCCACTCTGAGCTATGCCAACGGACCGGGGTACAAAAGTAACTTCCTGAGGGAAGGAGGCCTCGTGAGAAGGAAGAATCTGAGGGACATTAACATGAAGAACAAGGACTTCATGTTCCCCACCACAGTGCCCCTGCAATCGGAGACGCATGGCGGCGATGATGTGGCAGTCTTCGCCAGTGGACCGTATGCCCAGCTTTTCTCTGGCGTCTACGAACAGCACTTCATTCCCCACGCCCTCGGTTACGCCTCCTGCCTCTCCGATCGGAACATGTGCGTGGATGGGGGCTTGGCAAGGCGACCGCGTTGAAACTTGACAGGGGTCGAGGGTCAAGTGGAATTTATGAAGACTCAGGGACCACTGTATTATTCTCGCTTAAGAGAGAAGCCTTTAACTATACTACATTTATAAGGGGGGATACTAAAATAAACAAATTAAATTTAAAAACATTATTGAGCGTTCTTTGAAATCTCTGATTGGTGCACTGTTAATCAAATTAAAATCAAGAATTCCACCACAAATGTTTAGAGGTAATTCACTTTGGAATCTGATTAAAATTGGCAAAGTTAAGGCATCTGAAGGTTTAGAAGGGTCTCCTATTGCAATTTATGAGAAACTTAGAAGAGGCTGAAATTAACAGGGGTAATCAAATCGACAATCTTCGAATTGGAAAAGTAAAACGCAGATTTCTTAAGAATTGGATCGAAAACCGTTATGGATATGCCACTTTAAGATTAAGATTGTTAAAAATTATGGGATTTGTCTTAACACTTATTTTAACTTGCACTTTTAAAATTGATAACTTGATAATTTTTTTGATGCCTTGTCCGTTATCGATAAGTCGCTATCGATATTGCAGATGCCATAGCATCTCTTCTTGTTTTTTTTCGACCAACCGCGAACGGTCACACCATTAGCAGAGCACAACAAAATACGGATTTTTTTCTGCTAGTAAAGTGTCCAAAAATCTAGCGCAGAGGAGACCGTGCCCAATGTAAATGGTTAAATAAAGTGAGTAAGAATTGCCGACCGATGAACTCGCATTATTTGCGCAGTTAGCTGCGTTTAAAAGGTGTGCGTGCGTGTTGGAGTAAAGTGCGTTGGTGTGCGTGTGTGAGCAACCAGTTTCCTTGGATTCCATTTCTCAAATCTCCATGTGTGTATGTAACAAAAACAATAACAATTTGCCCAGGCAAATGCAAAACACTCGAAAAGTTGGCCAACTCGGGATGATCATTAGCCCGAAGCCCCTGAATTCCGCTTACGTTGGCCATTCGAGCAGCTTGATTTATTAATAATTATTGCCCATTTGCGGGGAACGTATACATATTTAGGTGACTTCAATTGTTCGTCGTCATTCACCTTGAATTCTGGGCAAGGTAAGCGTCCAAAAGTCGCTATGGATATCGTTGCGCTTCATTTACTATATTCTCTACAAGAAAGTTTATTGGTGTATATATAGACCATGTGCTTAGATTTTAGTAGTTCCAATAGTTACACGTCAACAAGACAATCAGTGGCTTATCGTCAAATAAGAAGGACCCCGAGATAAGCTAGCCACACAGAAAGAAAATTTTGATATGCAATGAAGAACGGATGAAAGCTTCTAAATGAGTATATATGTACATATATTCAAAAAGGCTGAGCGCGATTTTTCTCTGTGCAGACATTATGGCCCAAACAAATGGAATACATTGCTATACATATAGTGCCCTACTCTTCCCAATGACTAATAGCATCTAACATCATCTCGCAGGCTGCCAAAATGTATCTAATTAATTCTTAAACAACATAACAAACAATAGATGCAATGCAAGACCTTTAAACTGATTAATCGTCAATTTTGATCCACTCACACTTGTGCAACGCCGCCGTTTATTTTCTATTATTAATTGCTGCTCGCCAGCGATCAAAGTTTTTCGCCCTCTCTCTTGGTTTTTGGCTCAGTTTTGCTTTTGGCTCAGTTTTTGCTTTTGCCTGGTTTGTGCAACATCAGCGGGGATTCACAATCGACTAGGAGATCATCCATTCGCCAATACTCAAATTATATTACACAATTTTGACGCCGGGTCTGTCAGTCTCTTTATCTTTCCTCTTTATCGAGCACGTTCGATTGAACTTTGTTTTTACGTGGGGGAAAGTCGTTTCTGTTGTTTTGGGTTTTAGATTAGCTACCTTATAAATACGATCAGCTGTGACGGCATAGTATTCGAGTTTACTATATGCAAATGCTTTTAAATGTAGAAGTACACAACCATCAACAACATATAAACGTTACACACGTTTAATTCCCAATAAGATGTTGAGAGTTTAAAAAAGATCCACAGTAAACATTTTAGAATTAAATTAATATTTTTATTCAAGACGAGAATTAAATACTTTTGTCAAATGCAACCTAGCATTCGTTGAAATGCAACGATTTTATTTAATCAATATGGTCAATAAATGCTAAAACAAACAAACGATCTCCAGCAGAGTTTTGTTACTCAGCCAGAATGCCATAAACTAATCAATTGCAAGTGAACTCATCTAAAATTTAAACCATATTGTATTTTTAGAGATGTTTTCTCTTAGCAGAGTGACTCATGACCGAAATCTATTGAATGCGAATATTGTCTCTTTCTGACTAAAGCTAATTATTCTATCCGGCTGCACCTCAGCCCATCATGGGAATCGCTTCCAGCTGCGGCAGGTACGGAGGCAGGGTGTCTAGTCCGCCGGCCACTCGATCGAAGCTGAGGGCATGCCTCGGTGAGGTCATCAGCTGACGCACTCCGAAGGCCACGTCCTCGCAGCTGCTTCGTTCGCTCGGCTCCAGTTGCCAGCAATTGAGCAGTAGTTGGTAGAGATCCCCGTACACATAGGCCGGTTGTGCGGGACGCACTGCAGCCCGAATGGCCTCGAGAAGCTGCAGGTTGCTGCCCACCGCATTCGCATATGGTGTTCCGCCCAGGGAGCAGCATTCCCAGGCCACGCAGGCCAGTGACCAGACATCCGAGCGGGTGGAGTGGTGATGCTGATGCCGCAGGACCTCGGGAGCCAGCCATCTGCTTTGATCCGGATGTTGGCGACTGGTGTTCATGTACTGCAGCGGTCCAAAGACACTCAGTTTCAGTTTGGAATCACCCGTTACGAAAACACTGTGTGAGCAGAGCTGACGATGCACCACTTGGCAGCTGGACAGATATGACATGGCACTGGCCAGCTCGTAGATCCACTGCAGCACCAGCTGCTCGGAAAGCGATGTGAGGCGTTGTGAGGGTGCCATCAGGCGACTTTCCACCAATCTTCGCTTCAAACTCACTCGCTGCTGCTCGAAGATTAGGTAGAACCAATCCGGACTGGCTGACACTCCGTAGAAGTCCAGTAGGTGCTCTTGCCGTTTCAGATGTGACAACTGTCGGAGCTCTCTTAAAAACTGCGCTTGGGTAGACCCATTGAGATCATCCAGACAGAGCACGTGCAGCGTACAATCCCTCGTAAAGTCATTGGTCGAAACCTTTCCTGTTATAATCTCCCCAAAGCGTCCATCTCCGATCACATCATTTACATTTAGCCTCAGTGCGTTCCTTGGAATCCGTTCAAAACCCTCCACCAACTGCTGCAACTGATGCTTAAAGTTCTCAGGCGAGTGGGGCAGAGGTTCGTCCTCCACCAAATATCCGTTGTTTTCTCTCTCGATGATTGGCGTCTGCAGGGTCATCTCGTGGGTATTGCCTCCTGTGAGTCGGCGTCCGCGGCATGTCTTGTAGCGCAGATAGAAGTAGACAATTAAACTGAGCAGTAGGCAGGTGCCAAATATTACGCAGGTGACCGCTAAAGCCACTACCGAAGATTGACCCTTCTCGAAGGTGGCATAGCTGAAATCATCCAGCGAAGTTACATGCTGATCGTGTGTTCCACGGGTGTACAGGGTCTTAGTCACTCCCTCGAGGGTGCTAACCTGGAAATAAAAAAATGAAGGGTTAATCTGTTAATATTCCAACTAGCTGGTTATTCATTACAAAACTATTTTATAAATCCTTAAAAATTTCCTTGTTCTCTTCATATCAGTGCAAGCTTATATTCAAAAAAAAAATTGCTTAGATTATATTATTTACTCTTTTTTGCATTTCAAGCGGACGGATCTTATAAACGAAAACATTAAATATTTCGAGTAACAAATAGTAAGTTATAAAAGTGATTAAGTGTTGACCCCGAAAACAGGGCTTTACTTACCACTCCCAGACTGATGTGAACATGTGCATTTGGCTGATCGAGTGGCTTGTTGTTGAATCGTCCGTATCGCTTCCCATCGCCAACAACAAATTGCCGAGTCCGGTTGTCCTCCGCTCGATCGTAATCCAGCTCGGCGGCTATGTAGTAGGGCAGTCCGCCTTCCTTAGCCTGCTGCCAGCTTCCGAGGAGCTGTGAATCAAACGGCCGGATCAGGGCGTTGTCCACGTATTCCACTATGATAAGAAGTTTGCTCAGAGGTCCGTTGTCGTTTCGGATGGGCAATAGCTCTATGGTGACAGTGCGTTCGGTGCGACTTAGGATTTTGGGTTGCGCAGGAGCAGGACTCGGTTGACCCACCTAAAGTCAAAAATAGGATGAGTTGTAGTTAGGATAGGATATTATATAGGTTATATAAGAAATCACCTCTGTGTTGGCCTCTATTATAGCCTGACCGCACTCAGAATGTCCAGTTTGGGAATCCCGGCAAATGGCCCTGACGGAAATGTTATATAACGTAGCAGGCTGCAGGTCCGTAAGTTCAAACTGGGTTTCCGTGCTCTCGAGGCTAAACTCCGGTTGTGGAAAGGCGGGCAGCGAAGAGTAGGTCTTCAAAACCTGCGCCTTGATAAGGAAGTTTTCCAGTAATTGGTTCGGCAGCACTGCCTCTGCTCCGCCGGCCAGGAGGAGTTTCCTGGCCTCGTAGGCGTCCCACTGGAGGGTCAGGCTGTTCTCCGTCTTGTTTGACACCCTCAAGTGGTGGGGAGCCGGCTGCTTGGCCAGCGTGGTGGAGTAATAAGAGTTTACACCAATTCCTCCGCAATACTGCGCCTTGTTCGCCAAACAACGGGTGTTGCACAGTTGCTCGTCCTGCTGCTCTGCCGCCTCTACTACATTGGCACAGTAGCATTTTTCTCCGGCCAAAACCGCATAGATGTGTTCCTGATGCTCGCAGATTTCTATGCAGGTTTGTGGGGTTTTCGCATACACGGATTCACGAAGCAAATCCGTTCGCGCAGTGTAGCAACCAACGTAATAGTAGGCAGGCGATTCCTGGGAGGCAGGTGATCCTCCTGGAAGGAGCGAACACATGGCCACGAGGCAGCTGGAAAGCCAAAACGAAATTGGGCGGTGTCCGCTTGTAATACCGAATTCCATGGCTGGCAAATCTCAAATGAGCAGCTCCTGCACGCCGGATGGCTGAATATCCGTCTCTCGGATTTTAGGGGACCACCAATTAAACACTTTTTCACGGGCAGCCAATTTAGGCAAATTATAAACTTTTATTCTTTTTCCCCGCTCAACATTTTTCAGCGTTAGTTCGTTCTTCTTCTTGTTCCACTGCTGTTCTGTTATTGAGTGAGACTTAGTTGTTGTTGCTCTCGGCAACCGCGTTTCCAGTTGACTAATCGCTCTGCCGGCGTCGACGCAGGCCGCACAACTGTTGCTGTTACCTTCCAACACCTTTGTTTACATCGCCTGGTAACGGAGGTTGGCTAGGGAGCAAACGGGACAGCTGGTGTCTGCGGCGATCGGCGGGTCCCTAGTGGGACTGCTCACACACCTGCTGGACAAGCCTAGCTCCATACGGCACTGCCAGATGTGTTTTATTTTTAAATTTTAAATCTCTGATTCAGCCCGCCAAAGTCTTGTCGAAGAGGCATATGTTGTGTTTACCATAATTAAGTGGCAATGTGTTAATTGGACAGACGCGATTTTGCTAACGTTGCAGCTGCTGTAGCCCCAATTGCAATCCCCACTCTCTTCTCAGCTATTTTAACTTTGCCATGTGGCCATATGATGAGAGGCGATCAGAAAAGAGAGAGTGCCGCTCTCTTTCAACCATTCCATTGACTAGGAGGTGACTTGAGTGTTGTTGCTGCAGTTTGATTTGGTTGACAGTCGCGCTGGTCGTGTATTTAAATATATTTTTTCATTCCGCATCCGAATCAAATTCAATTACGGCCACCCGTAACTTTTATTTGGACTATATTATCGCGTGTTTGGCATAATTTCCCGATCTCACCTTGTTTCTGTTGTGGTATGCCCTCTTTGTTTTGGCTGCGCTTCCAATTAGAATTCAAGTCACTTGTTGGTCAAACTGCGTAGCGCGACAAAAGTTGTCGACGTCATCACGGCGCAGCTCAGCAAATTAATTTTAATGTACCTTTTACGTTTCAAACATTCAGTTGTTCAGAATTAACGCAACCCAAATTGGTAACCCTGTGAAGAGGTCAATTTATTTGGGCTTGAAAAAATCCTCAAGTCCGTTAAAAAAGTGACTCAAAAAGACCGGTACATTATTATTATTTATTTGTTATTAATTATATGTATCTGTTTTGTTGAACTGAAATTATAGAAACAGTTGCGCAAACAAGATAAAATAACAGTGTTTTTGTGATTTAATTCGACAAAAGTTTCTAAGTTGGAAAAGTATTGTACTATTAGATTCAATACGTTTTTTAAATTCAGCGTTAAACTGTAAACTACTGAATTTATTTTTGTATTCGCTTTCTGATAAATATCAATATTCAAACAAAACTTAACATTTTTATGAGAGCCATAAATAAGAAATTTCGAGACCCCAATAAAGCGCTTTTAATAGTTTTCCCCTCAGGTATTGATCACTAATAACATTATTATCTGCCCACGTACTAAGTACCTTCACACACAAAGGTACATAGTATACATGTGTACATATATCCCACGCACCTGAACAATCCGCTTACATGCCACCGCTGCTGACATCCTCTGGGATCGCGAAGCAGCGAATGTTTGGGTTTATTTTTGGCCACCTCTCATAATTGCAGGCCTTTCTGTCCGTCGCTCGTGTCTCGTGGCTGTGCCAAAATTAAATGAACTCGCAGAGGCTTGCGCAATTAACCGTTAGCCCAGAATCTTGCCTTTTCCCGCTATTCCCGGAAATGGAAAAATCACCGAAGAGCATAGTAAACATTTTTTCACTATTTTTTTGTTTTCAGTTGACAGGCCGAAATCCCATAGACAAACAAACCGGAAAGAAGTCCTCCATAGGAGTTCACACACTCGGAAACGCAGCGACACTAGGACAGCAGGATCGAAGGCAAGGATTGTAACCCAGATTCCAGAATGGGTGGCTCGTCAGTGCAGGTGATCAGCGCCTCCGAGGAGCACACGTTTGTGCTCAATGAGGATGCCTTGAGCGAAGTCCTTATGCGGGACGAGGTCAAGGATCGGTTCGTCTGCGTGGTTTCGGTGGCGGGAGCCTTCCGAAAGGGCAAGAGCTTCCTGCTCGACTTCTTTCTGCGCTATATGTACTCAAAGGTGGGTTCATGGTTTTATTTTTATTCAATACATTATATCACCTCTTCAATTCTTAGTATGTCCATCATGATGTGACGGATTGGCTGGGTGACGAATCAGAGCCCCTGGAAGGTTTCTCCTGGCGTGGCGGCTCCGAGCGAGACACCACCGGCATCCTCATGTGGTCCGACATATTCCTGCACGACTATCCCAACGGCGACAAGATAGCCATCATCCTGCTCGACACACAGGGCGCTTTCGACAGCCAGAGCACAGTGCGCGACTGCGCCACCGTTTTTGCGCTGAGCACGATGCTGTCCTCGGTGCAGATCTACAACTTGTCACAAAACATCCAGGAGGATGACCTGCAGCACTTGCAGCTCTTCACCGAGTACGGCCGCCTGGCGCTGGCCGACACCGGCAAGAAGCCCTTCCAGCGCCTCCAGTTTCTCGTTCGCGACTGGAGCTTTCCCTACGAGGCGGAGTACGGAGCCCTGGGCGGCGATAAGATACTGAAAAGACGGTTGGAGGTATCCGACAAACAGCACCCGGAACTGCAGTCCCTGCGTCGCCACATCTCGTCATGCTTCACAGAGGTGGCTTGCTTCCTCATGCCCCATCCGGGCCTCAATGTGGCCACCAATCCAAAGTTCGACGGCCGGCTGAAGGACATTACGCCCGAGTTCAAGAACAGCCTGCGCACCCTGGTGCCCATGCTGCTGGCTCCGGACAATCTGGTCTACAAGGAGATCAGTGGCCAGCGGGTGCGGGCCCGCGATCTCATTCAGTACTTCCAGTCGTACATGAACATCTACAAGGGTAACGAGCTTCCCGAGCCGAAGAGCATGCTAGTGGCCACCGCCGAGGCGAACCACCTGACCGCCGTGGCCGCCGCCAAGGAGCTGTACCAGCAGCTCATGGAGGAGGTGTGCGGTGGAACGCGGCCGTACTTAAGCACCGCCCACTTGGAGACGGAACACTTGAGGGTAAAGGACAAGGCGATGTTTCAGTTCGCCGCCAAGCGCAAAATGGGCGGCGAGGAGTTCACCGAGAAGTTCCGCCTGCAGCTGGACGAAGATCTCGAGGAAGTCTTTGTCAACTACCGAGCGCACAACGAGAGCAAGAACATCTTTAAGGCGGCCCGCACCCCGGCGGTGTACTTTGCCTGCGCCGTCATCATGTACATCCTTAGCGGCATCTTTGGCTTGGTGGGGCTCTACACGTTCGCCAACTTTTGCAATTTGGTTATGGGAGTCGCTCTGCTCACGCTGGCTTTGTGGGCCTACATTAGGTATGTTCTTATATGGCTACGTTAGACGATCACTAATCATTTAATTTCCTCTTTAGATATAGTGGCGAACTGAGCGACTTTGGTGGCAAGTTGGATGACTTTGCCACGCTCATGTGGGAGCGAGTAAGTAGCTAAGTTACTTATAAAATCTCATAGATATTTAACAAACGCTAAACTTGCAGTTCATGCGTCCCATCTACCACGGCTGCATGGAAAAAGGCATCCAGCATGTGGCCACCCATGCGACGGAAATGGCTGTCGGCGGCGCTGGAGGTGCGGCCGCCTACCGCTCCCAAAACTCGGTGAATGCGTCCAATGGCAAGGTGAAGCGCTCATGAGAATACGCCCAAGGAGCGCAGCACAAGACGCAGCAGCAGGTGCCGCCGCAGCCGCCGCGGGCATCTACCAGCACCACCAACAACAATAATAACAACAACAATAACAACAATGTGGCATATAAATCAAACAAGAGCAGCAACATTAACGAGGCCGACGGTTTCATCCACAACATCTGGCGTAAATTCGGCGGCGTTAACGAAGAAAAGGCCAAAGCCACCCTTAGTCCAGCGGCCCAATCCACAACCCAGGCGCCAAATAGTCGCAAAAAGCGCAAATCGAAGCGCAATTAAGTGTCCACGAACCAGTGGAGCACGGTTCGAGCCTCTCCAGGATCCATTTTCGATAGGACGACCCCTCTAATTTGTATAAATCTAAAACTTTCTATAGTGTGTGAGAGAACCAGAAACACAAAACGTCTAGCTATTAATTGCCCTAAAAGGAAGTTGTTTTTATATTGCATTAATTGAAGTGTAGATGGTCTATATTATTATATATACTTAAGAGTAAGTGCATCATTAGTAAGTGGCTCGTGTCTGTTGAGAAGTGAAATTTTAAATTGTTTTTTACTTACGATATGCGTCTGAAGCAGATATATGAAATTTAACGCTGTAATATAAAGAAATCGCTAACGAATTTAATTTGTTTAATTTTCCATCTAAGGCGTATAAACCCCCTTTCACCTTGCCTGTTCCATCTTATCTCATCTTTGGTATAGAATTCCATAAGCAATCTATGTATAAACAGAGTGCACATTGTTGTTGGCTGGTTTGCTAAGCGCCTCATTTTGCCACATTTTGTTATTTAAAATTAATTTCCAAAAAATAAACGAAAACGAAAAAAAAAACGAAGTCATTGCCAACCATTACAGTTGAACACAAATCGCAATGCTGGTATAGGTCATTAGTTTATCTTGTGCAGTAAAAGTATAGAAGTCTTGGTTTTGTTTCGATTAAACAATAAATGTATTTAATGATAACAGCTCACTAGCAGTTATGGCCATCGAGAAATAAAAGGAATGAAAATGCATTTTTCTCTGGCATCAATGGGGCTATCCTTCTACTTTTTTTCGCCGCAGCAATTTCCCTTAGCGTCGCCTCCTGCGGAGTCGCCACCCTTCTTGCAGCATCCTCCCGAGGAAGAGGCGTTCGAGGGATTGCATCCACATTTTCCAGGAGCCTGGCACTTGCAGCTCTCACAACACTTTTCCGGGGTGCATTTGCAATCTGAAAAAATCACAAGAAACACAGGAAAAAGGATTTTATTTTTCAGCTGCCACTATTTTCTTTGCCTGTTTTAATAATTGAAATGCACTAAAATGGACTTCGTTCCTATTTATCAAACTCACCTTTTCCACAACCAACACACGGCATTTTTATATAAATTTCTCTCGAAAGCTGTTGCACAACTAATTTAAAGCCAAATGGTAAACTGAATTTTTATAGACTGGCATTTGGGGTGGCAATTAACCCGGAATTTGACATTAGGGTCAGCGCATGCGTGTGAAAAAATTCGAAACTTTCCGAATTGGAACACTGGATCTTTAAAGCAACAGGTTTAAATAACCGCCCAATAAAAAATATTTCATTCGATTCAATTACATATCATTTAAACTTATTATTCTCATGATTTGTTTGGGTGTGATTTAGTTTTGTGTTTTTGTTTTTTTTGTTTGTTTTTCAACATTACATTGTGTGGATTTCGATCGCTTATGTTTGTGTGTGCTTAAAACTATCAATATACGCGACCTTTTTCGGCGCTGGCCAGTTACTTTATTTAATGTTATCATTTTTGTCCTGTCGTGTTTCACTTGGGACAACAACTCTCTACAATCCTTACGAGCTAAACATTACATCGTATCCTTGTCGGACGTGAACTAAAAACTGTTCGATTGGTTTGCGTAATGCGATTTACATTGAAAATGATTATGACATATTTTAACACATCCAATATTTAAAATGTTTCGTTAAGTTCTATTATTATAATATCTGTTCACTTCTAACGTATCGCTTTTGGTGCATGGGGGTTGTGGGGGGAGTGGCGGGAGAGGAAGGTAAGCAAATGTTCTTAGCATCGTTTCATAAATGATACTTAATGGATCTAATACAACATATATAGATATTAGCGTCTCGTAAGCCGTTTCACTGATCTTCAACTGCTCTCGTTCACACATTTATTTTGTAGTATTAATGATGCCTAGTTCCACCGCTTTTCTTGTGATTTTTTATTTGGCTTAACAAATTTCTCCATCGTGTGGCTTAAACGTTTCCTTTTAACTAACCAAATGAAAGGGGATCTCTTACGGGTTTCCTTCGCTGCGGGGATCTGCGTGCTCGGTAGTCTTAAATTAGTTACATGTATCTCTATATATATTGAATATATGTGTGTGGACCGGTCGGGTGTGTCTGCGTGTTGGGCTTGAATGTGTGTGTTACATTACTATTTGTTGTTAAGCTTAACTCTTAACTAAGTATCTATTAACCCCAAACCCGTTTCCACTTGCAGCACTGTCCACTGATTCCTCGCAATGGAAAATCGGAATGGGGCCAAATAGCTTGTGTTGCTCTGCCGTTAGTCTGTCGGATTTTGTGTGTTTCTGGGTTGTGGGTTCGCCCCCAAGCCAACCATTAGCACCAACCTTGGGTTGCTTACGTTTACCTAACATTGACCTTTGGCCACGAAATTCTTACAGGTTAGGAGCTCGGCCGTGGTCAGCCCCCGGCGGCCATTATCAGTCCAGTGGCTTGCCGAAAAACAAAATGCTGAGCAAATCGTTGAATGACAACTAAATCTGTGTTGGACTCGCCGCCTGGGACGTGGACGCAACGGATGCCGAGGGAGCGGGAGAGGGGTTTGCGGGGGCAGTGTCTCCACCGGAGGCCGCTGGCGGGGATTCGGTCGGTTGGCTTCCGTTCGTCTGGCTGGCCTTCGGCGACGGCTCCTCCGCCTCGGTCTCCGTGTCCATGTTGCACCGAGAGTCGCTCGCTTCGGCCATTGGCTCGGGCGGGGTGCAGGCTCCTTTGGGCCGGGACAACTTAACAGCTGCGGCCGCTGATGTGGAGGCCTCGCCACAGGGCTCTTCACTAGGTTCCTTGGTTGCCCCCGCACTGGGCACACTTGAATCCCGCTTCAGGATGGCGAAAATGCTCTGGATATACGATTCCATAGTGATCAGCGTGATGAGGCGCTTCTCACGCTCCTCGTTGATGCGATCCTGGGCGGTCTTCTTGTTCGTCGCCTTCTTATTGCGCTTAGGCGTCGGCTCCAGCTCATCCTCCAGTTCGGTCTCGTCATCGGACGAGGGTATCGACGTCTTCTCCATCTCATCCTCGCTGCCGGCGGGAGTGGGTGGTTTGGTGGTGTCCGTCACTGGTTCCGAGTTGCCGCTGGACTCCATGGAAACGTCTGCGGGCTTGTCGGCATCTCCTGACGAGGAGGCGTTCTCGCTCTCCGACTGCGCCTGTTGCCTTTCCTTTTCCTTCTGGGAGTCGCGTTTCAGCTTCTTGTTTGGGAAAGGATCTGCGAAAGAATGGGGATACCATTAGATGGGTGTTCTTTAGCAGAATAGGGTCAGCTTACCCCGCTCCGACTCTTTCCTGAATCTTTCGCTCTTGTTCTGAAGCGCTCTCAAAGACCCTCGCAGCTCCTTGCGCACCGAGGCCGGCACTCCAGTGGCCTGGGCAATAATCCGAATGGCAAACAGATCGCCGCACAACTCGTCGATGTCGTCTTTCGAGTGCATCCCGTAGTTAATCGTGTAGATCATTCTGGCCACTGGCAGCTGAGCGGCCACTTTGTGGTAGTACAGCTCCAGGAATTCGCGGACGCAGGCGTCCTTCAGCATGCTGCGCTCGTCCCGCAAAACATTGTGCAAGTACTCCACCAGCAGTTGGTTCTTCACCAGCAGCTCAACGTATCTTTAAAAAAAGGATATAAGTAATAAGAACTCTTTTGTGTTAACAGCATTTCAACTCACTTGTGCGTCAGTGCATTATTGTGTATTCCCACCCAGAATTTGGGCAAATAGTTGAAGTGCAGCGGCGTCGATTCGATGGCGACCAGGCATTGCAGCTTGACCAGCGTGTCGTTCAGCGTGCCCGTGTTGACGCACATGCGCATCATGACGTCGATGAAGTCGTGGTAGGGTCTGTAGAAGGACTCCACCTGAACATCGTAGTCCGCGTCTAGTCCGCGTGGCGTCAGCTCCGCCAGAGCGATGCACATCTGTACCATTGGACGCGGCGGACGGGGTGAGTTTTTGGCGCCCAAAGGCCACGGCGTGTGTTTGGCTCCACGACGCGGGAAGTAAGGTCCCAGGGGTCCGATTGCATTGGGCGCATTCGCCACGGAGAGATGGCAATTGATCAGGATGGGAGCCAGGATGCTGATGGTCTCCAAGCTGGTGTTCCGCACCAACTCCTTAAGCACTTCCAAGGCCATGCGGCTGATCTCGGGCGAGTTGAAGGTGTTCAGCAGCGTGGCCAGCCGCTTGACGGCATCCGGAAGTGCCTTGGCCAACGCCGAGTGCTGATGCTGCTGGCGCAGGAAGTGCTGCTGCTGGAATTGCATTTGCTGCAGCTGCTGCAGTTGCAGGTGTTGTTGCATCTGCTGCTGCAGCTGCTTCTCCTTTTGCTGCGGCGTCTGCGGTGTTTGCGTCTGGCTCTGCGACTGCTGCTGTTGCTTCTGCAACATCTGTTGCTGCTGCAGCTGCAACTGTTGCTCGATTTGCTGCTGTTGCTGCTGCTGCTTCTTTTGCGCCGGACTGTCGGTGCGCGTGCGAAACGTGGCCAAAAGAAGGAGCATTTCGCCAAGGAGGTCGAACAGATCCCCGGCTACATGGCAGGCGGTGGCCTCGTGGTGCATGGAATGTAGCGTGTGCAGCGCCTCGAAGCACATCTCGATGCCCCCGTTGAAGATCACCATTGTGCGGTCCTCCTCGTTATCCACTTTATATAACAAATAAATAATACAAATGTTCAGAGGAATTCTTAGATGAAATAGCAGTTAAACTCACCAAGTATCTTGAGAGCGCTGATCAGCGTGGACCACGATACCCGAGCATCCAGGCTGCTGGTGTAGGACACGATCACTGCCCGCCTGAACTGGGTGACATCGAGCTTCTCCTGCTCACTGGCGTCCGGATGGCGGGTGGCGAACAGCGCCATCAGTTTAAAGAGCTCGTCCACGGCGGCCGCGTACTGCGTGGGATGCGGGGTGATGTTCTTGAAGGCCCACTGCAGATTCTGGTGCTGGGACAACTGGCGGGTGAGGGCTCGGCTCTGCTCGCAGCACAGGCGGAGCAGTCCGTAGTAGGCGGGCAGCATGGAACGGTTGTAGGTGACGATCTCCGCGTCGTCATGGTCGGCCCTGTAGGGTAAGCCTTTGGTTATTACAGTTCGGAAAGTAATTAATTATGCATTACAATATGTAGTTAAATGCAATATTGCGCGTGATCTCCGGGCAGTTGGCCACCTGGGCTGCATTTTCGGGACAGTCGACCAGTGAGTGGTGCCAAAATGTTAACAGAGCGTGCTTGTTGTGATGGGCCGGAACACTGGGCTCCGAGAGGCGCGGATGAAACAGCTCCCACAGGGAGCGCATGAACGAACCTATCTGCAAGTGGCAATAAAACGGAGCCATTTAGTACGGAAAAAGTTGGAAAGTAATGAGAGTCTGCTGCTGCTAAACTTGCCATTAGTTTTTCAGTCTTTGAAACCATACAATAGCTGAGCAGGTTGAAGTAGGCAGTCAGCTTGGTGGTGCCGTGGGCCCCGATATCGGCATAGACCCGTGCAGGACGCAGCAGGCGCAACAGCAAAGTGATCACCTGGTGCAGCACAGCCTGGGCATCGCTGTTGATGTCGCTGTGGAAGCAAAGAAAATACTTTTGTAACGAATCATATATATTATACAAATCCTAACTCACCGATAGCTGTGCGGGTTGAGGGCCAGCAGCTTGTGCTGCGAGTGGGCGCGGAAGTTGGCCCGGAAAGGCTGCGAGGGCACCAAAGCCACCAGCAGGAAGGCGGCAGCTTTAAGAGAAACACAGTTTTAATCAGAGCCATCCTCCGGTGAAGAGGTGCCATCATCATACCATTCCTCACTCGGGTGTTGTCGTGGGCCAACAGGAATTGCTCGAGCCACTGCTCGGCGGACTGGAGGATCCAGGCGTGGGCGATTTTGTTCTTGGTGGCCTGCAACGAAAGCCAGTCGAGCACCGACTGCGGGCAGTACTCGGCCGCGTCCCACATGCGCGGCAGGATGAGCTGGGTGAAGCAGGGCAGGCCCACCGGGCCGCCCTGCGTCTCGGTGAGCAAGGTGAGCAGCTTGAAGAATGGCGCGCATAGCTCCGTGTGCTTGGTCACCGAGGCGAAGAGCATGCCGATGATCTGAGTGGCCAGGCGCTCGTCCCAGCGACAGAGGGCGTGGATTAAATGCTTGGTCTGGTGCGGATTAATGCCGTCCTTTATTTGTTGGTACAAAAATGGAAACCCCTACGAAATATAAGCGAAACACATTTAACAAAAAGCAGGGAACTTTGAACACAGCAAACACGATTGGTAACGGAAATTGTATGGCATTTTTATCGTGATTTTTGTCGGGGATTCGGTTTCGGAATAGTGCTGGAATAGTGAATTGTGATTGGTTGGTTGGTTGGTAGTGGATGTGCATGCTTGAATGGTTGATTGATGGATTTATTAAACGGAATAGACAGCGCTTTCCAGCTTTTTGAGTATAACCTTTCCGCCGGCGATAGCAGTAAAGTCTTTGGACGACAGTCGTAGCCGGAAATCGGGTCCGCGAGATCTCTCCACCAGGCTGGCGCACAGCGCAATCATTTTGTCCAGCGAGGCCGGTCGCATCTTCTCCACGGAAAGCGCCTCGTCCGAGGAGTTGTCTTCGTTGTCCGAGCTTATGTCGATCTGCTCGGAATAAACAAAACCTTAGGAATAGTTATCCCAATCATTAATTCCTTCCATATACTAACGCTGTCGGTTTGCTTGTGGCCGAGATAGAAGTCCACCAGGCTCTTAAGGATCCCAATGCGGAGCAAGTACATGGCTTCCTCATCTCCCATTCGCGAAAACTCGCACAGAAGGCCAAAGTACTCGGACAGGTGGCGCAGGTTCGCTCGGGCGCCTTGCTCCAGCAGCGAGATTAGCGAACCGATGAAACGCGTGACGCACGAGGCCTGGCCAATCTGCTCCTTGTCGTCCTCGTCCGTCTCCACGTCCAGATACAGATCCGCATGGGAGGCGCTGTCAGTGAAATAAATTCTTAACGGTTAAAAGAACATTTTTGCAGAACGACCTACCGCAATTGCTGAATGACGTGGATAACCAATCGCTGGAACATTTGGCGCACCATTTGGTTGGGGCACTGGATGAGAACCTGAAGAGGCCAGTAGGGCTCCAGCGACATGTGCGACAAGAACCACTCGCAGGCCTCCTGGCTGGCATTGAACTGCTTGGTCAGCAGTTCCACCCAGGGAACCATGGTGGGCTGAAATGTATGGAAATGTTACTGCCTTTCAAGGCTTTAATAAAGGTAGACTTACCTTTTCCTTGGCATGAATGAAGGTCTCAATGAAGAACGACACCGACAACTTGGCTGCCATGCAGGTGACGTCCGTCTCCGAAATCAACGACTGGGGTATGTGCCCACAAATCTGCCACATGAAGCTGCAAGCAAATTGGGTTTGTATTAAGTTAAACATGGGATAAGAAAGTCATAACTCACTTGAAATATGTATGTTCGAAGATGTTGCGATCCTGCAGGAACTGGCGGTTGTCCTGCCAGATCCAATCCTCCAGGTCCTTGTTCAGCAACGGACGAATTAGTTGCAGCTTCTGGGCAGCCTTCGACGTGGAAGGCTGCTGATCGTTGCTGGCTTTGTTGTGGCTATTGTTGCTTGGCTTATGATTATCACAATTGGCTGTTGGCTGCTTCTCCTCCTCCTTGCCATCGCTCGTCTTCTCCGCGGGCTTCTTATCTGCCTCAGATTTCGTTTCACTATCATTTAGTCGGGAATCCTTATTCTCTGGCTCCTTCTCATTGGCCTTCTCCTCCGTGACTTCTTCCTTTTTGGGAGTCTCCGCGGAATCTTTGTCAGCTTTTGTGGGCTGCTCATTAACCTTCTCCGGATCATCCACTTCAACATCCACCTCTGCCTTGCTTTCGCTGCTGCTGGTTTCCATTTTAGTGGGCTCTTCGGCCTCGGGTTTCTCCTCCACAGTTGGACTGGGCGTTGGTGTAACCAGCAGCTCGGAATGGCGGCGCTGCAAATGCTCAGGCAATCGGCGCTCGTAGAACAGCATGTAAGCGGAATTGGTCTTCTCGAAGCTAAAGTCCAGATACTTCTCCGTCACTGAGTCGTAGGTTTTGCTCTGCAGAGGCAACAACATAAGTATTTGTTGAATTTGAATGGGATCACGGTTAACTTACCGTCATCTCGCCGCCAAAACACTCCGCTGCTATCTGTGAAGGATCGAAGGGCTTAACCTCGGCGTCGTTGAAGAGGAACCAGCGTTCGTGGGGATGATAGCTGGTCTTCGTGCGCTCCTTAATGAAGCTGTAGTAGTGACCGCCATCCGCAGTGCCCGTGTGAACAGTAACGCCCACCAGTTCGTACCTATTGGAATAAAGAATTAATGAGTATAACTAGAAGGTATTGCAAGGGATATCTTACTCGTAACACTCCTCGATGTCGGCATCCAGCGTGGCCTCCGCCTTTTCGTTGTCGTTCTCATCTCCGCCTGCTTCGGCTCCTTCGTTCTCCCGCTGGCGCCTCTCACGTTCCTCCTTGTACTGCTGCGGCATTAGGGTCTTCTCCACGTAGTGGCACATGTTCAGGCGCAGCGGGAACGAGAAGTGCGTGTTCACCTTCTCCTTCAGCATGGTGACCATGTTGAAGGTGTAGCGCATTGTGTTGAAGCAGAGGATCTGGGGCAGCTTCTTGAAGCAGGCCCGCTTCTCCGCTCGCACCTTCTTGCCGCACTGCGAGCAGGTGTACATGTTGTCGCCCTCCAGAGTGTCCTTTACGGTGACCTCGTCCAGCGATTCCTGCAGGTTGCGCATATCCGCCACCTGGCAGCGAACCGTGTAAAAGTCCTCTGCAGTGCGGGAGACGTGACCGCAGTCCAGGGAGACGACGTTGTTGCTCAGGGATCCGCAGAAGAGCCTCTTCACCAGGTGCTTCAAGTCGGGCGTCATGTCCTCCAGCTTGGACACCAGGTCGATGAAGAACTCGGCCATGTCCTTTTGCTCGCCCGTGTTCAGGGGCTGGTGATCCATTTGGTAGACGCGGCAGAAGCTTCTCGGGTTGTAGGACTTCCTCTCCGACTCCAGCAGATAGGCGAACATACGCTGCAGTTCCAGGAGCGTGGGTCCGTGCTTGCGCGCGGCAGTGGGAGGAACCCTCAGCACGGCTGCCCTCGCCTGCGGCATCATGTACAAGTGCTGGACGCAGGAGGCCATGTAGCAGGTGGCTCCCAGGTTGGTCAGGCCCACGTAGCCGCACTCGGATCGACCCTCGTCCCGCGGCCAGTAGTCCCAGGGATACGGCTGCTTGGGTCCCGCCTTGTGCTGCGCCAGGAGGCGTCCGTGCAGATAGCCGTAGTTGGTGGCGCACCCGCGGCACAGCTCCACCAGCAGATCGTAGGCGGCCGCCCGGGAGGTGCCCGACTTGCACTTGGGCTTCTGGCGATCCGCCGGCGAGGGCATGTCGAACAGGAAGCCGATCAGCTGCTCAATGAAGGACAGGGCCTTCGGGGTGTACTTGAAGGTGGTGTCGTACTTGATCAGGTTGGACATGAGGTTCAGCAGACCCACCAGCCCGTCGTCCTGGTAGCCGTGGCGCAGCTCGAAGTAGTCCCGGGTAAGAATGCTCTGCGAGATGCTCTCGCACAGCATCTCGATGTCGATGTGCTCCTCGGCCACCATTTCCGGCGAGAGAGTGTCCACCAGTCTGGCCAGCAGCCAGAAGTAGTCGCGGCAAGCGGGACCGTACGGATCCTTGCCCTCCTCGGAGAGCAGGAACTGCGTGGGCTGGGTGCCGGAGCTCATCTGCTCCGCCAGGGGAAGCAGGGCGATCAGCTTGTGCAGCAGTGGCGCCAATAGGAGGCGATAGCTGTGTGCGTTTCCCAGGCAGATGCGGTACAAGCCAGCGCAGATTTCGCGGCGCACCGCCGGTTCCGGATCCTCCAGGATGAACTTCTGCAGCCAGCGGCAGTGATCCGTGTCCGACTGCGCCCAGAGAAGCCTCCTCGCTTCCGCCGAGGCGTGCACGAAGCTCACCAGGATGTTCATGGCGAACTGGATGAGCTGCGCTCGACCCCAGAATCCGGTGCGCAAGTGCTGGAACTGGTAGGGGAACACCAGTGGGTTGGCCGACGAGGCCTGGTGCTGCTGATGCACCTCGTCGTTGAGGATCGACGAGAGACGCGTCAGGCACTCCGGCACCTCCATCAACTGCAGCATAAAGGGATGCGGACGGGACATCAGCACATGCACATCCGGCGACTGCAGCTCCTCGAATCCCAGGAGCCACAGGATGCGCAGCAGACTCGCTAGGCAATCGTGGCGCCACTCGTTCAACGCCAGCTCCTTGGGATGCGCACTCTGCTGCAGTTGCCCGCCGCTGAAGATCTCGTAGAGGTGTCGCAGTCCGCCGCACTTGACGAACGCCTCGCTCCACTTGTTGTCGCCCCTCTCCATCACGGAAAGTTGAGGCGGCGGCGGAGGAGTCGGAGACGGGGGGCGTGGAACAGCCCACTGGACGCTCCTTTTCCTGGTCGAAGGCCTCGCTCTTTTTCTGCCGCTTGCTGTGCTGCTTCGGCTGGTTCTCCTTGTCGCCGCCGCTGCTGCTGCTGGCCTCCGTCTCCACGTCCTGCAGTCCGGAGGAGGGAGTGGGCGTCAGCGGGGCCTCCAGCTCGCACAGCTGCTCCTTGCTCTGCTTGACCTCCGGCGGCGGTGGTGGTGGCTGCTCGTTGCTATTGCGGCGCCTCCCCATCGAAGATTTCTTCACTCGGATCTGCTCCGGAGGATGGCCAATGGCCAGGCTGCCGTTGGACTCCCCTCGTCTGGAACTGGTCAGCGCCAGACTCTCCACGATGTGCAGCGAGTACATGAACTTCTGCAGATTGTTCGGATCGAGGAGGTCCCTGAACTTCTGCTTGATCTGCTTGCGCTTGGTGGCCAGCTGCTCCTCCTCCCCGCCAGCGTCCAGCTGCTCCAGTTCGCTAAGGTCGGAGACGAGGCTCTTGAAGGCGTCCAGTATGTGTGGATTGGTGGGCAGCATGGCAAGGATGTCCCACACGCGACGCGAGAGCAACTGCGCCTTGGTGTGGTGCTGGGGATTCACAGTCGCCGCCTGTGGTTGCATGTCTCCGAGAGTCTGCATCAGACAGAACAGCTTTTCGAAGTACTTGGGCTGCAGGAGGAGCACCGTGGGCAGGCACTCCTTTGGCGGCGGAGGAAGCATTGACGGGTGCTCCAAATTCGACTCCTTTCGCCTGGCGCCGCGTCCTCCCAGGGACACGTATACGATTTGGTTGTCCTTGAAGCCGGCATCCCCGAGACTTCGTTCGTCGTAGTCCGAGGTCAGCTCCTGTCCCTGTGTGATGATCCGCAGCGGTCCATCGCTGAGCAGCAGTCCGAGCACAGGTGCAGCCAGTCCCGTTTGCAGGCTCTCCCACCACTTGGACACCTCCGCCTTGAGGTCGGCGATCAGATCACAGGCGTGCATCTGCAGCAGACTCTTCTCCGACAGTCCCGCCTGCTGCAGCACAATCCGCAGTGGAGGACCCGCCCCCTCGTTCTTCAGGTTGCTGTGCGATCCGATCCCCTTGCCCTCGATGGCCCAGCGGCGCAGGTGGAATGCATACCGACGCCGGAAAGTGTCCAGGTGAGTGTTCAGCAACAGGAGGCCGCGCTGCACCCGCATTAAAGCAGTCTCGTCATCGATGCTGAAAGAGGGAAGGCATCATCATAAGTTCCAATAAGATTAAATTGTTTACTGCATTGTACTATATCGAAATATTATTGAGGAGTATCGGATTGTATAGGATATAACGACATACCTTTCCAGAGCCGTTGCCGCTTGAACCAAGTTCTCCATGCACTGGGAAACGAACTCCTTCTCCAGGCGCAGCTGCTGTCCCATGTAGTACATGTTGATGTACTGGATGGCCGCCAAGGAGACGTCGTTGCTCTGGGCGCGCAGTGCGATCTTCCACAGGTGGTACATGCCCACGGCACTGGCGCTGGCCGAGATCTGCTCGCTGTGCTTGTCGTACTCGGCCATCGCAATGCGGGCGAAGCTGCAGAGCTGCTGGAACAGGCCCAGCGCCACCATGGAGAACTCCTCGGGTCGCAGTTCGGGCAGCTTCTTTAGATACAAATGCTGCAGTGCCTCGATGCCAAGGGCATGCTGGTCGCCGCCCTTCGCCTGCGACTGCAGCCACGAGAAGTAGCAGTCGGCGCACTCCGGATCGTGGGCCAGCCACTCCCAGAGCGCGTCCAGCTGCTCTAGCGTTAGGCGGAAGCTCTTCGGCGATCCCACTGTCGAGAAGATCGAGGAGAGGAACTGCAGGCGAACAGAGACTTGTGTCTTGTGCGAGTAGAGCTGTCCGCCCAACTGCTGCTGCTGTTGCTCTCCGTTCTGAGTGATTAGTATCTCGGCATGGCGACGCGCATAGTGGCGAATGTTGTTGAAGAAGCACTGCATCATCCGGTGATTCCGCTCCGCCCACAGTGTCATCGAGTGCGTGTCTGAAGGACGAAATTGCTGGAAGGAGGCAAACAGCTTTGGCAGCAGTCGCAGACTGACAATTACGCTCCGATTGTTGGCCACATTGTAAAGGCAGCCTTCGATGAACTTGGTGCGCAGCTGGCGATCCATGCTGAAGCACAGAAGAGTGGCCAGCGCCTTCTCCGCCTCCAAGGCCAAGGATTCACCCAGTTGACCCTGAAACAAGAAGCATTTGTATAGAATTCCTATATAAAGGTCCCTTGATTTCGTCTTACAATTTTGTCATCCTGGAGCAGATCCCAAAGCAGAGTGTTTCCAGGCTGACAGACATCGTTCAGCTTGAAGGAGGGCTGCACGGGAGTACCACCAGATGTTGAGCTGCCCTGACTCGCCTTGGGGGAGTGGTGTTGCTTGCCGGCGGAAGCCACCTCCATTAGATCCAAATCAGAGTCGGATTTTGCCTTGGCCGCAGCAGCCACGGCAGCGGCGGCGGCGACACTAGCCTGTCGATTCATGGCCACCAGTGTTTGCTGGGCATTTCCTGTGGCCGCCGCAGCAGCGGCTACCGCAGCTGCAGCGGCAGCAACGTTGGACTCCCCTGACTTCTGAAGGGCCATCGCTGACTGGGCCACCATCATGGCGGCGGCAGCAGCGGCAAATGCTGGCGGAACATCCCGGCAGTTCGCGCGGGAGCTGACTAACTGTGCTAGCTCCTCCTCGCATGGCGACACGTCCTCGTCATCGAAGTCGGCCAGGTTCTTTTCCGATTTGTTGCTCATTGGGGAGGAGTAGCTGCCGTCGTTCTCAGCACCGCTGAGCAGCTCGCTTATGTTGGTCTCGATGGCCCGGATGTAGGGTCCCTCACCTTGCAGATGCTTCAGCACGGCGGCGGGCACCAATTGGCTTGTGGCTCCATCGCTGCACTCGTCGCTGTCGGCCAAGAGTTCGCCCTCGCCATCTCCATCGCCGTCCGCATCCGCCTCGTCACTGCTGGGCACATCCTCGCCTCCCTCCCAAATCTCGACCATCTCTTGGGGAATAACGATCTGTTTGTTGGCCTTTTGGCGGCGTCGCTTGTTGGTCGTCTTCTTTCGGCTGCGGTGGAGCTGAAGCTCAAGTGCGGCTCGCGACTGCAGCTCCTCCTCGCTGCTCGTGTTGTCGATAATGTTCACAATCCGATTGTTTCTGGGGGAATCAAGGAAAGGACATCAACACACATACCAGAATAAACAAACTTTATGCTTACACAATGTCCACTTTGGCCATATCCTCTGGACTGATCTGCTTGCCCTTCTCGGTGGTCGGGTCGCAGATGTGCCGCCTGTGGCGCGCCTGCTTGCACGGCGTTACTCCATCAATTGGACTCTTGTTGCCACCGCCTCCACCGCTGGCGATGCTGCTGTCGTCGGCGCCCACGTGGTCGTCCTCCGTGTTGCTGCCCTCAATGCTGCCGCTGTCGGAGCTCGAAGCAGTCACATTGGATCCCAGCAGGTGGTCCTGCATCAGGTTCATCTGGCTGCGCGAGCAGTCTCGCGTCCACAGCAGCTTTGTGAGAGCCGACGCTATGTAGATGCTCTGCTCGGTGTGCTCCTTGGGATCCATGCGGCAGAGCAGTGAGTAGAGGTGCATGGACGGACGCGGTGTGAGGTTCTTGACCAGCGACGGCAGAATGTCGAAGATTGTCTTGGAGCAGTGCTTCAACTGAGTGGCCTGCCAAATGAGTTTGATGTCCTCCTCGGAGATCTGGTTCTCCACCGCCAGAAAGTTGAGCAACACGTGCGCCTGCTTCACAATCTCCACGTGCAGATTCGGACCGAAAAGATGCTGCACAATATGGTTATCGGTCAACCAGTTGGCAATGCGCTGTCCAAACAGTTCTACTTCGTTAACTGTCTCCGTTGTGCAGATCTCGTTGAACAGGTTGATGTGTGCGTTGATCTGGGCCATGCCTAAAAGGATTGACATTTATTATATTAAAATCAAATTTCAAATACCGTATCATCATATGAAATGTTGAGAGATAATTTGGAAACTATATATATAAAGTGACATTTTGAATACAAGCATCATCTCAATTTTAATGACTCATGACATAAAGCAGTGCGTTGTATAACTTCATACATAAAATAAATAAGATCGCAAATTATTCGCACAAGGTTGTTTCATGCAAACACTATTAGAACCTCAATTGGAACATATATGCTCTAAGGCTTCCTAGCAGACATACCTGCCAGTCGCATGGTCAGCGTGGTCGATGTGAAGTACTTGAAGGCCAGGGCCAGTCCTTCGGTGTCGAAGTTGACGGCCACGTCCAGCGGGTCCCGCATGGAGGACCACACGAAGTCGGCCATGGCGCGAGTGGCGGCGGATCGAAGACTCTGGTCCGACAGCTTGCACATGTACTGCAGGATGCGGCTGCGCAGCGGCACAAAGAGCTGCGTGTTGCAATGGTAGTTCAGCCAGAGCTTCACGTTCGAGACTGCGGCGGTCATCGAGTGCGCGGTGGACACCGGCAGGTCGGGGTGCTCGAAGCACAGCGACATGGCCCCGAAACCACCCGAGTTGCAGAAGAGGCTCACGTTGCGGAGCAGGTAGATGGGCAGGTCGTTGTCGTGCAGGTCGCAGATGAGAGCCAGGTGATGGGCCTCCTCCGCCTGCAGATCGTCCAGGCGCGAGTGCATGCCATGCTTGTGGGCGATATACAGCGGGAAGTTGAGCAGGAACACTTTGGAGACGAGCACCAGGAGCTTCTCCACTTCAGGCAGGATCCAGGGCTCCTCGGTGTACTGCAGGTGGGATTTGTGCTGGGATGGGGCTGCCGCTGTCGACGTCGGAGGCGGAGGAGTGCAGGGACCAACTGGCGGCTTCTTTGTTGGACCATCGCCTGATCCCTTCGCATCTTCATTCGAGGATCCGGACGGTTCTTCTTTTTCAGCTCCTCGGGCGGTGAAGAAGACTCCTTGTTCTCCGCCTGAGCCGCCGCCTCGTCGCGCTGCTGTTGGGCCTGGGCCTGGGCCACTACCTGGGCGGCGCTTGCGGTGAGCCTTTTGTAGTTGTCGATCAGGTGGTCGATGTGCTTTAGGTGCTGCACCGTAAGGCAGATCAGTGACTGCACCACCAGGTTAAAGCGGTCGTAGTTCTTGGTGTCCCGGTAAAGGCACATGCACTGGCGCTGCGGCCACGACTGGATGTAGTTGAAGGTGGTCTCGATCTCGCTTTTCAGCAGCAGCTGGAACTTGAGATCGGAGCTAGCCACGCGCACCTCATCTGTAAATAAAAAGGAGACAATTGGTAAACGGCGGCGGGGGGCAGGGGCTCCTTTTTTTTCATCACTTACACAGCTCCAGGAGATTCTGGAAGTCGGCGCAGACCTCGCACATGGTGCTCCGCTAGGTCCACTGACTCGTCGGACTGATTAGGGGGCTTCCAGGGGTTAGGGCCGCCTTACCAGCGGCGACTCCTGTGCGTCTAGGAGTCGTCTGGGATTCGCTGGACTCGGAGTCTCGCTTTCGGTCTCGGCCTCTGTCTCGATTGCGGGCACTTGCTCTCGGTTTTCGTGGTTCGCTCGGCTCGCTCCCGGCGGTCGTGCAATGCCATTTAGGATGGCGCCCTCGCCTCTCAACACGGAACACAGTTTTTCGGCAACAAAAAAATGATAATTCTACACTCGAACATATATATATGGTTGGAATATATATGTATATATATACAATTACAATCGAAGCAAGAGCCAGAGTTGGAGCGAAGAGGCAGGGGCAGGGTTGTCAGGCTGTGTGCGCAAAATGTTTTCCGTCTATCGGTTATCGGCTATCGCCGACCCTTCCACCGCTAGCGGGTATCTGCTCGAATACATGTGTTCTCGCGAACGGTCACACTGGCCAGCCAAACTGTTTTTGCGGTCCGTAAATTTTTGTTTACATGCTTATTGCTGACTGAAAAAGTGTATCACTGCCATGGAGGACATCCAAATGGACACCAGCTCACCCACCGAGTCCAGCTCAGAGGTGAATTTCAACCCGGAGGAGGAGAAGACCCAGGAATCCCGTGCTGCCGCCGGCGTTTGTTACTGGTATGGAAAGCCTTGCATTTATTGTTTCATTTTGCTTTTGTTGATAACACCTATTTTAGCGGCAAAGAGCGAAATCTGAACATCGTAGAGCTACTCTGCGCCACCTGTTCGCGCTGGGTGCACGAGTCATGCGTATCCTACCAACTTGGAAAGGGCAAGCTGTTACCCTTCATCACCAATTATGTGTTCGTTTGCAAGAACTGCTCCGCCAGCGGATTAGAGAGCTTCCGCAAGAGTCAGGCTAGTAAGTTTGGTATATACATGTTCGCAATCCTTCAAATAATGCTAAACCTCTACGATTCTTAGCCATTTCTCAAATGTGTCACTGTGCCATTGCCAACATGCAGCAGGCGGCTGCAAGAGAAGGACGACGACAAATCCAGTTTAGCAAGGACAAGGAGATCATTCCTTACATTGAACAGTACTGGGAAGCCATGACCACTATGCCGCGCAGGCTTACCCAATCCTGGTACAGCACTGTACAAAGATCCTTGGTCAAGGATGTGCAGACATTGTTCACCTACGAGGAGCATTCAGAACATGGCTCCATGTACGGTCTCTTTCACCAGGATCTGAGGATCATTAAACCCAACTATGAGAGCATGAGCAAAAGTGGCGCTCTGCGGCTCACCGATGATGGATACACTCAAGGTGAGTTTAATATAGACTTCACATCCAGATGCCCAATCACAAAAATTGCAGTATTATCTTGAACTCTTCTGTCCTTTAATTTGGCTGTACATTGTTGAAAAATGCAAAGGGATTAGCGTATAAGTGTTAAATTGGCAACACTGGTTGCCCAGCTGATTTTCGCACAGTGGTTTGCGTGTCGCCTATTTCGCTTCCTTTTTGTTCCCTATTTATCGCGCCTTTCGCTTCGCTCACTTTCCGCAAACAAAACAACCGCTCACCGCGTCTCCCCTTCGTATGCTCTTTCGCAAGTGTTTGGCAAAGCAAGGCAACTGGAAATCGCAATTGGGATCGTAGTTTTAGATTTGCACACGCACACAGATACAAAATAAAGAGAAAAGGAGAGAGAGGGAGAGAGAGCAGCCCCACGTAGTCGGATTGTGGGCGGGGCAGGGGCGAAGTGGGGTGGGGCTGGCAGAAGCGCTCAACTGGGCTCATTCATTACAAACAAACAAATAGTTACGCTTGGAACACTTTTGCCTGTGTGTGTGTTGTGCTCGTGGTGTGGTGCTCTTTCAGGGGAATTGATTTTGATTTGATTTACTTTGGAGCACTACGCAATTGAAAGTCCCCTGCTCCTCCGGCTCCAAAGGGAACTCCTGCGACACCGCGTCCTGCCATGTCGTCATCTTTTCCGGACGAGGAGTGTAAGCCCGGAAACGCAAACGGCCCGAACTTTGCCCAGACACCCAGTTCCGTCCCAGCAAACATTTTCCATTGTGAAAAGAATCAAGTGGAGGATACAATTGAGTCTAAATTAATCCACATACTTTACTAATCAATAGAAATTCCTTTAGGGAAGAATTAGAAGTGACCTTCAGAAATATCTACAAATTCCTTCCAAAAGTTCTCTAGAAGAGACACAGGCGTGGACTCAGAGAGGAATTGGGAACAGTTCTGAATAAATTTGCATTAAAAGAAAACTTCAGAAATTTTTAATTTTGCACACAAATTATTACTAAAGTTGCGCTCCTCAAGATACTTTATAAAGAAAGCGAATTTCTTATTTTGATTACCTCTTCCTAAATTCGAAATATCATTAAGTTGGGCGAATGTATCCTTTACTTTCTGTTAATTGCATATCTAAAAGTAGTTTTTCTATCCATATAAATAATGCTCCACCCTTTTTCCAGCTGCGCTGTCCAAGAATAATAGACAGAAAAGGAAATTCCCCGGCACGGATTCCGGACCAACGGGCAAGAAGGGTCGTCCCAGCTCGGACATTACGGCGAATGTAAAGCTGCCACCACATGGCTATCCGCTAGAGCACCCGTTTAACAAAGATGGATATCGTTACATACTCGCCGAACCGGATCCGCATGCGCCCTTTCGCCAGGAATTCGACGAGAGCTCCGACTGGGCGGGTAAACCCATTCCCGGATGGCTCTATCGCACCCTGGTGCCCCACTCCGTGCTCCTGGCACTGCACGATCGGGCGCCACAACTCAAGATTAGCGAGGATCGGCTGGCGGTGACGGGAGAAAGGGGCTACTGCATGGTCCGGGCCACCCACTGTAAGAATTCTCTATACTTCCTAATATGAATTCCATATAAATTCTGCATTTTTCCGCAGCTGTGAATCGGGGCTGCTGGTACTATGAGATCACCATCGAGGAAATGCCCGAAGGAGCTGCCACACGACTTGGTTGGGGCAGGGAATATGGAAATCTGCAGGCTCCCCTCGGATACGATAAATTTGGCTACTCCTGGCGATCTCGTAAGGGCACCAAGTTTACTGAGAGCCATGGTAAACACTACAGTGATGCCTATGTGGAGGGCGACACTCTGGGATTTCTCATAGAACTTCCTGAGGAAAAGACGCTAGACTATCTGCCCAACACATTCAAGGATCGGGTGAGCTAAAATAATTAATCCAAAACAGTTTACGCGGAGTTGAATAAAATGGTTCTCATAGGAATTACTATTAATTTGCATGTTACGAGTTTTACAAAGGATTTGTTTGTTTAAAATTAATTTTTGCATTTGCAATTGACAAGCTAACCCCACGTATGCTTTTGGATCTTAAGCTCTCCGTTTTTCTGGTTTCAATTTTTTTTTTTTAAATAGAAGTTCAAGCCTGATAATTAGCCTATATTGTATCTCCCCTTCACATTCTTATTGTTCCGCATCTTTACAAATCGACCCTCCCTAATTGGCGATCCTTTTGCCGTCTATTCATTTCCAACAGCCTCTGGTCAAGTTCAAGTCGCATCTGTACTACGAGGACAAGGACAAGATCACTGAGACGCTCAAGAATCTGCACATTCTGCAGGGAAGTAAGATTGAGTTCTTTAAGAATGGCCAGTCGCAGGGCTTGGCATTTGAGGACATCTACGCCGGAAGCTACTTTCCGGCCATTTCGATCCACAAAAGTGCCACCGTTAGTGTAAACTTTGGACCCGCCTTCAAGTATCCTGAAGTGCTTACCGACCGCAAAGCTAAGGGGGTAAAATAATTCACTCATTTAAGAGAAAAACAAATATTAATTATACAATTCATTTTAGATGAATGATCGCGTGGAGGAGCTAATAACGGAGCAGTGTCTAGCGGATACTCTCTACCTCACTGAACATGATGGTCGCCTACGCCTGGATAATATGAGTCTATAATGAGGGATATGTAAAAGCTGGTCTAAATTCACTTTTAATTCGTTAGATCTAAAGATAAATGTGTTATTTTTGTATCCATTTTTTCTTTGCCAAGAAGAATATATGTAAAAAAATCATTAAAAAGACTATCATGTTATAAACCAGAACCATGCAAGAACCCTTATTCGAATCCCAAAATTGTCCAAAAAAGTTTCTTTTGAGTTCAGTTTTATTGTTTGAGGTTACTTGAAGGCTTTGAATTTCGAGGCACTGTAGGGTATGTAAAAGGCACTGCTCGGGGCGAACTCGGACCGCGGATGATGGACTGCCGCCGAGATGGAGCGCCCCGTGGACGGAGTGTTGCTGGAAACGCTGGTCGCTCCGAAAGGATGCAGTATGGAGCGGTTGGAGGAACTATTGCTGTGGCCACCGTGGCTGTTGTGCCCGCCGCCGCCGCTCGAATTGCTCTGGCTCGAAGTCCCCGTGGTGGTGGCCAACAGATCCCGGCTGTGTCTACTCAGATTCAGCGAGGGCAGCACCACGGCGTTTTTATTGTTGAAGAAGCGATTGGCGGCCATGGGCATGTGCCAGGCTGAGGATCGATGGCCCTGGTGCGGCAGCACGGCGGACTTGGCCTGGTTTTGGTGCTGCAGCTGTTCCTTCTGCTGCACCTGAGTGAGTTGAACAAAGCTGCGGTTGTTAAGCAATCCCCGGAATCGCCGGTTGGTGTCCAGCACGTTTAGGATGGGTGGCATGCGCAGGCGGGCCGATGATTGGTTTGTGGCCGAGGAGATGGGCATCGGGGGCTGGTGGTACTGCTGACTCCGCTGGCGCTTAAGCAACTTCACCGAAACAGAGGTAACGCGCAGATCTCGGTCTAGCAGATCCACCAGCTTCTTCTGACTGGCACGCATGTAGGGACGGTGCAGGGGCTGGTACTCCTCAGCCTTGGGTGTGAGGAACCCATCGTCGCCTTCATCATCATCATCATCATCGTCCAGGGAATTCAGGCTGAGGTTTGAAATGGAGTCGATGTCCTCTCGAGTCTGGCTATCGAAACTATGATGGCGTAGTGAACGTGTCCTGCGGCCCAGCAGACTCGGGAACTTTCGCTGCCAGTCGGCGATCTCGTTGCGCAACTCCGGCTCCTGCAGATCCTCCAAGGAATCCTCTCCGCTCATCAAACGTTCTACCCTTTCCCAATCTAGCAGGTTTTTCTTGATGGCGTCGTCCGCCCACGGAATGGAGCCCACCGAGCTGCGGTCGATGCTGCTTGAGGAGTAGGGCACATCCTGCAGAAACTCCGATTCGTCCGCATCGTGGTCGTCCTTATCCACTTCCGGTTCGTTGTTGTTGCCGTCGTCCTTGCAGATGGCACCCGCATTGTCCTCCAGATCCGCTCCGAAGTAATAGCGTTTGTCTAAGGACATCAAAACTGGCTCAGCAAACGAGCTGGACTGGTTCTTTCTTTGCTTTTCCCTTCCCGGCTCCTTGATTCCTGCACTCGCAAATCCCCGTGGGTGTCCTTCCGTTTACGCTGTAAATGTGGATGTGTTCTCCCCTTCAAAATCGATGCCGCTAAAGTCGGCGAGCGACAATTGTTGTGTTGTGGCCCATTCCAGTTTGGCTTGTTATTTATTGTCCTTTTGTTGTTTCCACCACCGACAAAAGAGCGCAGGCTCCACGACGTTGCCAGCCTTAAACAAAAATAACGTTCTTAGGTTTGAAAAAGGGTTTAGAAGAATTAAGAAATGCACTCTTGTAAACTTCGATTAGGGATTTTGAAAAATGGGATTCCCCTTGAAATTGGTTGAGATAAAGTTAAGTAACTATTTTTAGGAACAACAAATTGTACCGCATTTGCGTTCTTATAAGAAATTGGGAACTGACTACTTTTTTTTGTGGGAGTTAATAAATATACAACAATTATTAAATAAATAATGGTTCATATTAAATAATATATGTATGTTAATGTAAGTTAACTTCTAGTATTTTTAAAAGTGCTTCACATCCAGCCGGCAATGGCTAACTAATCGATTTTCGATACACGCACCTATCGGTTTCACATCGTTTTTGTTTCCGTCACTAACTTGCCCCGAACACGAAGTGAAAAACCGAAGGGAAAAATTTTCCAGACGTGCTAATGTCCTTTTTCAGGTGAAACCACCTCATTTGCCAGCAGGCGACCGCTGGAAGCAGAAGCTCAAAGCACTGTACCATGTGGCACGAGGCTAGGAAGCAAGAGCGCAAGATCCGCGGCCTGATCGTCGACTACCGCAAAAGGGCGGAGCGTCGGCAGTACTTTTACGACAAGATCCAGGCCGATCCCACACAGTTCCTGCAGCTGCACGGCCGACGGAGCAAGATCTACCTGGATCCCGCGGTGGCGGCCGCCGGCGATGGAGCCGCAATCATGCAAGTGATATTCATTTGGAGCTTAAAACCCTCTGCTTTGTTTTGGTTGCATGTAAGAGATCTTAACTAACTGACTCGTGTCCTTGCAGTGTGCCTTGGCAGGGTCAGCAGGATAATCTTATAGACCGTTTTGATGTTCGTGCCCATTTGGATCACATCCCTCCCGTGACCAGGACAACCGGCGATGGAGGTGATGGGGATTCCGAGTTGTCTACCGAGGAGCGCCAGCTAAACTACGAAAGGTATCGCATTCTGGCGCAAAACGACTTTTTGAATGTTAGCGAGGACAAGTTTTTGCATCAACTCTACCTGGAGGAGCAGTTTGGAGCCAATGCTCAGCTGGAGGCCGAACGAAATCTGGCTAAGAAAAAACAGAAAACGGGTGGTGCGACGATCGGCTACTCTTACGATGATACGGGAGATGCAGCAACCATTGGACCACAGCCTTTTGGAGCGCCCAGTTCTACTGCCAGCGGAGGGGCAGCTGCTTCCAAGGGAGGGGAAAAAGGGGAGGGTAGTGATGAGTCCGATTCGGACATCGACATGGATGTTTCGATTGACATCGGCAAGTTAGACACCTCCCAGGCGCATGAGCTTAATGCCTGCGGGCGTAACTACGGCATGAAGAGCAACGACTTCTTTTCGCACCTGACCAAGGATGCGGACGAGGCGGACGCCTTGCGGATCGCCCGCGAGGAGGAACAGGAAAAAATGCTGCTCAGTGGAAGGAAGTCGAGACGCGAACGACGAGCCCAGAAGGAGCGGAGGATCGCCAATAGACCCTTTAGTCCGCCCAGCTATGCGGCCAAAGAGGATAAGGACAAAAAGGGTGGCGGAAAGGTCGGCGACAAGGAAAAGGAAGAAGACACCGACTCGCGATCGCCATCACCTGCTGAGGCGGGACCAGAGAAGATAACCTACATTACCTCATTCGGCGGCGAGGATGAGATGCAGCCGCACTCCAAGATCACCATCAGCCTGACTAAGCCGGGCCTGACTTTGGGTGAGTCCTGCATCAATGCCAGCAGCGGAGCAGCCATTGCCGCCGCAGCAGCTGCCTCATCTGTTTCCTATGCCCAGAAGGTTAAGGACAACCTGGACAAGTTAAAAGTGATGAACGAGTCGGCAAAGCGCAGCAGACGCCGTTCGCGTTCGCACTCCCGCTCGCGTTCAAGGAGTGGCTCCGCCTCCAGAAGTCGCAGTGGCAGTCGAAGAAGAAGTCGTCGAAGCCGTAGCTATCACAAGAGAAGCAGGACGCGATCGCGCCGCCGGAGGAGGTACTACTCAAGATCCAGGTCAAGGTCAAGATCAAGATCTCGCTCTAGATCTAGATCGAGGTCTCGGACACGCACACGCTCGCGGTCTGGTTCCTGGAAGCGCTACAAGTCACGCAGTCCCAGCTACAAGCGGTCCAGGAAGCGCTACTCCTACTCCTCGCGCAGTTCCAGTGGCAGCTCCTATAGAAGAAGAAGCCGATCCCGTTCCCACTCCAGAGGAAGAAGTCGCGCCAAGAAGAAGGCCACGCCGCCGCCAGCAGCAACGGTGGGTGGTTTCTGCCTAAGCACCACCACCACCACTACGACCACATCCACTTTGACGGCTGTAAAGATGTTCCAGCAGCAACCGCAGCCGCAAACCAAAGCCATGCCGCCAATGATCAGCTATCCCTTGCCGGCGCGAGTGCTCAATCTGAACCAATCCGGGCCAGTTGCCCCGCCCGCTGTTGTGCAACCGCAAGTCGTGGAGCCGCCACCACCGCCATTGAAACGCTACTACGGCAGGAAAAGAGCCAACGATACTTCGTCATCGTCCTCGTCGGCAGCGGAAAACAGCGAGGGCAGCGACAACGAGGAGCAGCAACAGTCACAGTTGGGAAAACAACGAGCAGAGGACTCGGATGAAATGGAAGTGGACACTGCGTAAGTTTGTGTGCTGCACAGAGTGGTAAAGTAGAACAGCCAAAGATTAGGGACTATCTCCTAGTGTTTGCAACCCCCAACTAATTGTGGAATCTCTTTTGCAGGTCAGAGCGCTCGCATGCCCTCCAGCCGATTATGTCGTCATCGAGCAGCACGGGTAATCAAACAGGCAAATATAGTTCTGCTACCGAAACCAAAGTCAGTAAGCAAAGCCAAGTGTGTCATGCCCCATCCAACTGGAGTACACCACAAAATTCACGTCTCAGCCTCCCGCAATCCGCCATCCAAATCAATGAGCAACATTCGGACCTAAGCAGGCAGCACTGTGTTCTCGTTGCAACCCCGACTAGTGACCACGTTACCATCCCTGCCTGTCCCTGTCCCTTGTTGATGCATTGTTTTGTGTCCCCCCTCAATGCCAATGCAGCAGTCGTTGCAATTACGCCAAGTAGATTGCAACGCAATCAAGGATGCATTTACCACCCCATGTTTTGTCCTGTTGGTCTGCAATTCCGCTTGTTCGTTGCTATGCAACGAAGGTCCGTGTAGTTCCCATGGATCTATTTCTATTGTAGCTTTAATCCTTTCAAGATGGTTATTGTGTCCGCTTATGGAAATTATTTTGAGTTTTGCATAATGTGAACAAGAATTTTGTTTTCATAACCGATCAAGCTGCAATGGTGTGCCAAGTTTCGTTTATCGAAGCTAACCTTCATTTTTGTTAGTGAGTAGAATTCCTAAATTGACAGCAGATCATGGACACGCTGTCCTACCCCCAAGCCCACCACACTTTCGAATGTCCGCCCCTGCTCCCTTGAAACCTAATCCCACCTTGACATTAGCTAATTAACCAAATGATTTTACAGGGCTCTGGACATCCGAGTTCTGGTGGTGGACGACCCAATTTGCGGGAGCGGCTTAAACGAAAGATGCAGAACTTACTAAACCGGCAATGTAAGCCACCTGGAGTGTAGTGTGATGTTCACCAAGCGCCTGTTTAAAACCTATCGGAAAAGAAAACTAATTCTGAATTGTTTTGCAGATAAGGCCGACAAGCGTGCGGAAATCGAAAAAACCGAGCGGGAACGCCTGCAGCAGCAAGAGCGCGAGGACGAGATGCGTGAACTGGCGCTGAAGCTGCGCAGAAGGTGAGTATCTGGATGTGACTGGCTCTTGCGGTCCTCTCACATCTAGTTATTCTCAGGCGCCGTGAGCTGCGACACAAATACGGAACGCCATCGAGCGGCAAGCTATCGGGCAGCGAAGCAGAATCGGTGGCCTCGGAAAGCCAAACGGCGAAGTCTTCATCTCGTCGTAGTCGCAGCAGATCGCACAGTCGCCGGAGGACTCCTCCCCTGTCGGACGCACAGCATAGCCGACGGAGTAGCAGTCGAACGGAAAGGAGGCGTCGCACTAGGACGCCCAGTCCTAAGTACAATAGAAGGCAGCGATCCCGGTCAAGAAGCGGCAGTCGTGTGGAACGTAAGCGGCGTTCTCACAGTCGAAGACGCAGTGGCAGTCGGGATCGCCGACGATCCCGCAGCAGGAGAAGTCAGTCCCGGCGGAGGAGACAGCGGGACCGAAGCGTGGAACGGAACCGGGAGCGAGAACGATACAGGCAACAGCAGCAGCAACAACAACAGCAGCAACAGCATGAGAGGATGCGGGGACGTGACCGGGATCGGGATGCCGACTACGGTCATGGTGGCAGCAGTGGCTCCTCAAATCGAGGTCGTGTCGTCATATCCGCTCCGCCAAAGCTCAAGAAACTGGTTGACTATTGAACCCTAAAGCACTGTGAAGAAGACTATTTTTTCTATTCACTTGATATTGGCTCGATTGTTTTTAGATGTAGGAATTATTTCTGGAGCGTTTTCTGCGTTTACTGTTGATTTTGGCCCCAATAAAATAATTTAAGCTATACAAGTTAGGAATTTTTAGGGAGCGAGCATTTTTCGTGTACATTTCAATTTTACTTTTTTTATGAATCCGAACATTGCCCAACACAAATTTTAGTAAGCGCTTAAATTTTTATTCCCGTACTTAATTAGTTATTAGAAATATATAATTTGCATTGCTCCGTGAACTGTTTTATTTTGTTTGTGTTTTTCGAGTTGGATAATTTACTTAGTGACTTTATTTCCTTACAAAGAATTCCATTTGTAACTTTTATACGTTATAATACAACGTTTGAAAAGCTGCTATCGCTATCGATTGTTCGATTTCGCCTACACTTGGCAACACTGCTCACCAGTTGTTTATGTAATTGTGAACAGCTGTGCGAGAAGCATACTGGAATCATGTTAAATTTGACTCTTCGACGAATCGCTGGAGTTTCCTCGCGAAACCTGAATCAACTGACGCCCACGATCAGCAGCTTGGGACAGATCCTTTCCAGAGCCACCATGTCGCAGGAGGCGGGTCAGTATCCGCCGATCGAGTCCGCAATGCGAAAGGCACTTACCACCGAACTGAAGCCGGTGTTCCTGGAGGTCATTAACGAATCGCCACAGCACAATGTGCCCAAGTACTCAGAGTCCCACTTTAGAGTGTTTGTTGTTTCCGAAAAGTTTAATGATCTCACCCTCATCAAGGTGAGTTACAGACCCCTTTGGCTTTTTGGTTTTTAACTAGATTTTTCTTCTTAGCGCCATCGTTTGGTCAATGATACGGTGAAGAATGCCCTCAAAGCAGCCGGTTTCGAGTTCATGCACGCCCTGTCCATTGAAGCTAAGACGCCCAAGCAGTGGGAACCGGAGCAGGAGCCGGAGAAGAGTCCGCCGTGCCTGGGAGGCCACGGCAAGTAAACCAGGATGAATCAGAACCCAATTCTATGTACAAAGGACCTACTTTACTACTCACAAAGCCAGCTTAAGCAAATACAACAATCACCAATGGAAAGGAGGGTATTCTTAATGGGAATGGTAAAATTAGGACAGCGGTAGCGACTCTACTTGTCGCCTGGCGGACAGAATAACATCGTTGATGCCCACTCCATCGTAGGCGGCTCCACACAATGACAACGGCAGCTTGTACGTCTTGATGTAGTTCCGAATGCTCTCCACGCGATGCTTGTGGCCTACTGTGTACTGCGGGATGCACTTGTGCAGCGTATGAACGCGACTGAACTTCGGTTCCTCGCTGATCTGCAGAATCTTCTGCACTTGGCTGGTGGCCAAGTCGAGGATCTGCTTTGGGCTGGGGCGATCGCCGAACCACTGGTCAAACCAGTGACCGCCCATCATCACGGTGAGCACGGTGTTCTCCCCCATTTCAAAACAGCAGCTGTCGAAGATCACGCCCAATATTGGCAGCTTTTCCACCGGAGGCACTAGCAGTCCGAAGCCATCCTGCTTGAGCAGCTTGCCCTGGAACTGCATGTTCACCACCAGCACATCCACGTAAGGTATGTCCAGCAGTTGGGCACTCAACGAGGGATGCTGTTGCTTCACCAGAGGCGCCAGTTTGTGAGCGGGCAGAGAACTGATCACATGTTCCACAGGCACATCAGCATCCTTAATGGTCATCCGGACTCCAGAGCTGCTAAAGTTCAGATTGCGGCACTCGTGGCTTAGCTGCACGTTGACATCCCGCTCGCCGAGGTACTTTCGCATGGCTTTCGGCAGGATCTCCAGTCCGCCCTGCAATCCGTACATGGCCCATTTCTCCTGCAGAGCCTGCGCGTAAAGCTTCGGCTGTCCTTCGGCAAAAAGACCCTCCTTGGCGTCCTTTGTCTTGTCTTTAAAGCGGGAAATAAGTGTGCCCTTGAGTACGCCTCCATATTTCTGCTCCTTCTCGAAGAGACCTTCCATCAGGAAACGAACGCTGATCTCGCGGGCATTTCCGGCACAAATACCGCAGATCATGGGACTGATGGCGTAGTCGGCTATCTCCTTGCCGAACCGACGCTCTGCAAAGCTATATATGCTCTCATCATCCAACTTTGCCTTCTTGCTATCGGTGACCAGATCCTTAAAAAGCGCCCTGTAAAGCGGTTTAGTGAAAGGGGGCATGACGCCAAAGAGTCCTTTGGGGCTGTTGGGAAGCATACACAGCTGTCCCTTGGCATAGAGCATCCTGTTGCGGGCCGCCACATGACTGCGCCGGATGGGAGTCACCTCCAGTTTCAGTTCCTCCACCAGTTCCAGAGTGTTTGCTCCCGGTAGGCCAACGGGCCGTATGGTACGCGGTCCGCTCTCGAAGATGAAGTTGCGGTCCTTGCGGTCCTCCGACCGCACCCATCCGCCCACTCGTGGCGAGGCCTCGTAGATGGTCAGCGGCTTCCCAAACCGCCGCAACAGGTAGTATCCGGCGGACAGGCCGCTCAGTCCGCCTCCCAACACGGCCGTCGTCATGGTCCTTTTGCTGTTTCTGGTTGCTTCCGAATCCTGGAAAGGATTGCGACTTGTTTTCCTTTGTAGACCGGTAATTCAACGCCGGTTAAGATCGTTCAGACCAAAATAAACCCAGGTGACATAACTATCGGTGCCAGATAAGGCTATCGATAGGTTCCACTTAACAATCGGCGTTGCTTTCAATTGATATCATTGGCGCAAAAGGAGATTTCAATTTCATGATGACGATGCAGGAATCTTTAAAATGCTTTTTTTTTGGGTAAGCAAAAAATATTTTAATAAAGTGGATTGAAACAGAATTTCGACTCATTTTTCTTATATGTACAAATTTATCATATATGTAATTATTTATGAAAGTCTATTGATAGGTTTAAAATAAAAGCCAATATATTAAGTAAACTGTTTTAAAAATTCAGACAACTTAATTTATTGTAAATGAAAAGTAAAACAAGAAGTTTGTACACGAGTCCTGTTTAATATCACTTATCCCGAAAGTATGCAACGGAACCCCTCAAACATTGCTCATACGCCACGTGTGCATCGCAACAAAAGGCACTGGCACCCACACTCTCGCACGTTCATCGACATCACCACCGCACTCGGTCATTCATAGTGAATGGGTTTTGGCGCCAGTTTTGATGAATCGAACGGCGCGTCCAGCCCGCACCGACCGCAGGACTCCGAAAAGCTCGTCGCAAGCGAGCTTAGGTCGTGCGGAACCACTTTGTGCCACCGAGTTGCAAGTCGTCGGAGTCCAAAGCGCTCAGAATTGTATACGCTGCTGACGAGAAAGGTTGGTTTTCCGCACGAGGAACGCGACGCGTCTGGTTTTCTGGGTGTGTGAGTGAGTGGACTGTGTGGAAAAGTGCCTTCGCATATATATGTATATGCACACGGACCAATACACACACCCGCACTCGGAAAAGTGAAAAATTTTCAAACTGCGTTTGCCAATTACGGTGGAAATTGAGAAAAACAAGGAAGGCAAACCGACGGCCGAAAAATCAGGCAATTAACGTGGCCATTTGCGGAACGGCAATTGTGCAAAATTCGGTATCCGTTGAAAACGGACTAAGTGAATGTGAAAATGTGTGCGACACACATACACTCACACACACACACAGGAAATTCAATTAATTAGTGAGCGTGTGTGGCTAAAAAATGGAAATTGTGATCGCAAACAGTGTGCAAAAATGGCTGAGCCCAAAAGTGGACTACTGAAAAGTGAACTCTATGATTTTTTTGTTGGCTCTGCTGCTGGTTTTCATTTAAAAGATACATTATACATTCGCTGAAGTCAACACACAGACACTCAGACACATACACTCACACACACATGCGCATACGGCACAGTTTTTCCTTCGCACGAAACGAGCACACCACAAGTTCCCCAAAAACGAAAGGACCCGACCCGATGATAAAGTCGATGTTCCAGGCCGGAGATACACTTGTATCGTTCGCCTGCTGCTGTCATCGTCAATGTTATTTTTGTTGCTTCCTACTCGTTGTCCTTCGTGTATCGGATGCGGTGGTATATGTGTGTCAGTCAGTCAGTGGCCGAAGCGCTGTGTCTGTGTGCGTGCGCCAGGATACGCAGATACCTACAAATGAAGCCCCCGAATCCAGGCGAGTTCAATGCGCGGCCAGGACGAAGGACTAAGCTCTGTTTACATTTCCCCTTCGCTCGTGGAAGCCACCCATCCACCATCTCCACCCCATCCCCACCCCACTTTTCTGGTAGCTGGCGTGCCGTGGGAAATTGTGTCGCCAGCTTATTTATTATGAAAATGCAACTTTCATTTGACTCGGCATTTGTCCTGTTTCCATTGTTTGCAGGCGCATTAGGCAGCTTGTTAAGCGCATGAAAGTGTGTGTCCTGCGAGCCCGCGTGTGTGTGTTGCTGTGAGTGTGCGTGTGCGTATGATTGTGCTTGTGTGTCCGTGTGACACGAAGGAAAACTAAAAACTAGGGCAGTGTGTTTCCGTTTCGACGACTCGCCGCAGGCCCAAAAGGACGAAGCCACAGGACAGCAAAGCCTCGCTAATCTAGCTAGCTTATAATAAAGCCAACCTATTAAGTTTGTGTGTTTTGTAAAATTTGCATTGAATATAAAGTGCAAAAAAGAACTGTTCAAAAATAATCATTTGAATATTTTAAAAAGGATTCCATTTTGGTACCACATTGCGTATGCTTAACCAATTTCATGTGCGACGTTTGCAGACAAAGAAAAAGCTTTCCCGACAATTTTCGGATTCGCTCTACAGCGCAAGTGCCAATCCGCCATCAGTGAACTGAGAAGTCGAGAGAGATTCTCAGAGAATTTCTCGGCGAACTGAGAATTACAAGAGAAGCGAGAGCTGCTGATTTTGCTTTGAAGTTTGCTTCGCATCTTTATTTATTTATTTACTTGACAGTCTTGTTTTTCCGGCAAGGGAATAGGGCTAAATAATGTCAAAAACAACATTAATTTTACAAAAGTTCCCTTTGAGTGGTGTATAAAAACCAGCAGCAGCCAAAAAAAAAAATTTAATCAGGGACCCGCACAAAATATAAACGTATATATAAGTAATAACTTTGACAAATGTCGGCGGTCGTAAAAAAATTAAAACGCAAATAATGCTTGACAGCTTTACTAAAAAACATAATTAATTACCCCGGTCGTCGGTGCCATGCCAATTTAAATAATACATAATATTTCGACCAACTCCATAAATCTCTTGCAGCTTAACACACAAGGAAAAAAATCGTAGGCAAACAAAGAAATAATTTTGAAGGAAACATGAGCAGTGTGACTAAGCGCAGTTTCTAAATTAACCAAATTCCAATTCCAATTCCAATTTAAATTCAAAGCGAACTATCGATCAAAAGTCTAAAGAAACAAGCAAACAAACGCACAATGAAACTGATAATGAAGCCGATAACGCCGTTCTAAACACAATGAAACTCAGCTGCGGATCCCAAATGCAATTATGAAATAACCAGAGACACCCATCAGCTACTGAGGAAAACGCAAGCCACAAGATTTCCACGTGCAACATTGGCGAGCTGCAGCGACCACAAATCGTCTACACATTGATGTGCGATTTGAGCGTGTGAATGTTGGCAGCCCTGGAGCCCTGCCTCGGTGGTTTAGCCAGTACTAGGTGAGTACTACGAGAGTCCATTGCACACCCACTCGAAAAACACAATTCCGATTCGATTACACCCGCACCACAACAACCACAACAACCACCACCAAACACCAATCACTTTCCCAAAAGAAAGCGAATATGAAAACGGATAGCGAGGGGAAAGCGATCAGAGCCACACGAACTGCACCGAAATCCACAGTGACCACCACCTCATCGCGGGTTCCGCCCGGAACGATCCATCAGACATGGCCACCTGGTGTCCAAATTGCCACGAACTGCCTCCGTTCTATCCTCCACTCACCCCAAAGGTAAAGAAAGCCCTCGATGTCGTTCGTCAATCCACAAATAAATACGCAACGCTTGTGCAAACCATCAGATCGTAGAAGTCAACTACTACTACTAGAGAGCACTGGGTTTAGGTTATCTTCAGCTCGTCAATCAATCAATCAACCATTTAGTACTGTTCTTATCAATTCGTGATGCATTTAGAGCACATTAGCCCTGATCTTTGTAATTTTTCCTTATCAATCAGTCTTTTATTTGGAACTCATTTTCAATGACCTATCAACTATTTGTATTACAATTATAAGTAAAGTAAATAAATAATGAGTTGAGGAATTTCCTAAATATTTGTTGATCTCAAATTGTAAATAATTACCTATACATGTACAAACGCTTTTATATATTTGATTATCAAAGAAACGAATGGCTTATATTTATAAGCCTACAAAAATCATGGAGTGTATAGTTGGTTTTTTCTCAGAATGTAATCTAATCTTAATTATACAATCCTGTAACCCCTGGTGATTACACTCTTTCCCCCTCTTCATTTCGAATTCGTTTCGCTTCATTTAATAAATGGGATTTCCATCACTTTGGCCGCCCATTCGCAATGGCTCGCGTGACCTTTAAGAAAGTGGCACACAGAGCATAGAACACCGCCACCACAGTGAACAACAATGTACACCGACCGACCGAATGAACAACCAACACTCACCGAGCAAGTGCAGCCTAAGCCCTTTGGCCTTGGCCAATGTCCAATGTCCAATGGACAACGAACAAAAAAATGGGAAAAACGGGGGGAAAGTGGGGAAAAGCGACCAGTGGCCGGCAATCAACGGCCCCAATCAGCGGGCCAAGTGCTGGCCATAAATTGCTCAGAAAGTCGAAGGGTATTTGTCAGCTTCGTCAGTTGTCTCCGTCTCCGTCTTTGCGGGCTGCCTTTCGAGCGTTTCGCTTTGACGGACATGCGTCAAGATATGGATATATAGCTGGTCAGGGGCTCGCCCACGCCCCCCAAAATCGATAGTTCGCAATGTAAATTATTATCAAGCCGCCGCCGGTTGCCGTGTGACTTCATCCGTTCGTTCGATTGCCTTCCCCCAAAAGAATGACAGCGAAATCGGCCTGGCGGCATAATTTATATCGGTGGCTATCTGCCCCACCCGCATTCACTAGTCGCAGCTGCTTTCGGTGGCTTGGCCCAGTATCTTTGGGTCAGTTAAGGCGATTCAACCGAATCAAGGAGCAGTGGTTCCCAGGCCAGTGGCTCCTCATAAATAATTCATTCAGCGCCGGTCACTGCATTTTCGCTCGGATCGATGAAAGCGCTCGGAAATTAATCCAAACAAAAAGCGAGGCAAGCAAACTACATATAATTCACAGAAAACGTGCACATGTGCTTATCCAAGAGAAACTTGACACTTCTTTAGAATTCAATCAAATTCCGTTGGTGTATTAAGTTTTTAATAAGAAATTAACACCCCAGCTGTGTAAACTTCCTTAATCGTGAGGAATAAATAATTATTATTTATTCTAAGGATACTCTTTCAGTTATGGCATCACTGATATTGATAGTGAATAATGAACAATTTAATTAAATCACGTTTATTGGATGTTTACAATCCCCTTAAGCCGATAAGTCGACAGCTGTCCTTTGTTCGGGTTTCTTAATTAATATATATTACGTATACGCCGTGACACCGCTTAAATTC